CCTGACAGGAGGGGAGTGTAATAGCAGCCTGTATTAGATCCTAACCCTGACAGGAGGAGAATGTAATAGCAGCCTGTATTAGATCCTAACCCTGACAGGAGGGGAGTGTAATAGCAGCCTGTATTAGATCCTAACCCTGACAGGAGGGGAGTGTAATAGCAGCCTGTATTAGATCCTAACCCTGACAGGAGGAGAATGTAATAGCAGCCTGTATTAGATCCTAACCCTGACAGGAGGAGAATGTAATAGAAGCCTGTATTAGATCCTAACCCTGACAGGAGGGGAGTGTAATAGCAGCCTGTATTAGATCCTAACCCTGACAGGAGGGGAGTGTAATAGCAGCCTGTATTAGATCCTAACCCTGACAGGAGGAGAATGTAATAGCAGCCTGTATTAGATCCTAACCCTGACAGGAGGGGAATGTAATAGCAGCCTGTATTAGATCCTAACCCTGACAGGAGGAGAATGTAATAGCAGCCTGTTTTAGATCCTAACCCTGACAGGAGGGGAGTGTAATAGCAGCCTGTATTAGATCCTAACCCTGACAGAGGAGAATGTAATAGCAGCCTGTATTAGATCCTAACCCTGACAGGAGGAGAGTGTAATAGCAGCCTGTATTAGATCCTAACCCTGACAGGAGGGGAGTGTAATAGCAACCTGTATTAGATCCTAACCCTGACAGGAGGGGAGTGTAATAGCAGCCTGTATTAGATCCTAACCCTGACAGGAGGGGAGTGTAATAGCAGCCTGTATTAGATCCTAACCCTGACAGGAGGGGAGTGTAATAGCAGCCTGTATTAGATCCTAACCCTGACAGGAGGGGAGTATAATAGCAGCCTGTATTAGATCCTAACCCTGACAGGAGGGGAGTGTAATAGCAGCCTGTATTAGATCCTAACCCTGACAGGAGGGGAGTGTAATAGCAGCCTGTATTAGATCCTAACCCTGACAGGAGGGGAGTGTAATAGCAGCCTGTATTTGATCCTAACCCTGACAGGAGGGGAGTGTAATAGCAGCCTGTATTAGATTGATTCTGGGAGTGTTAGCGGAGTGTCCCAGTAAGAGAAGGCTGAGATCCAGGCTTCAAAGTCATGGGCTTTCCACTGTGACACATCAGTCAGACTGTTCTCCCACAGCCTGCTGAGTCACTGGACACCACATGCACATCACTACTGCAGAAAGGAGAGGAGGAGAGGACACGCCATGAAAACCATTGACCATCACATTAACAACAATCAAATCAAAGGTTCTGTATCATAAACAATTATATTGTGCTGTGCTTTCCCAGTAGTAATGAGACAGATTGATATAGGAGTAGAGTCGACAGAACCAAGACTAGTTATCCAAGCTGTGTGTCTTTAGCTAGAATGCAGCTTTCAGTAGCTATATTCCAAATAAAGCCATCCTCACATGTCACCCCTTCCAGTGGACCAGTCTAATGACAGAGCCAACCTATCAGGTCCCAGTTCCAAACTGCTCACATTCTTCAGAACACAGCAGCCTTCCTACTGGAGACACATATCCATAAGAGCAGGGCCCAAAGCTAGGGTTGCCAAATTCCCTGGTTTTTCACAAATCCTGTTTGGAGGATTACAGATTTCGTGCTTATTCCCTCCTAAATCCAGTAATGTTTCAATTGGGATATCTGGAAAACCAGGGAATTTTGTGAAAGTTTTGCAACCCTAGCCCAAACACACTAAAATAATGGATATGGAAGTGGATATTCGACAGTGAGCATCTGTATCTCACCTGACTGTCTGAGTCTATGCAGCTGTAGCTCCCCACTGGCTGTAGCCATGCACAACAGAGGCCTCTCAGACGTATGTGCAGCTGTAGCTCCCCACTGGCTGTAGCCATGCACAACAGAGGTCTCTCAGACGTATGTGCAGCTGTAGCTCCCCACTGGCTGTAGCCATGCACAACAGAGGTCTCTCAGACGTATGTGCAGCTGTAGCTCCCCACTGGCTGTAGCCATGCACAACAGAGATCTCTCAGACGTATGTGCAGCTGTAGCTCCCCACTGGCTGTAGCCATGCACAACAGAGGCCTCTCAGACGTATGTGCAGCTGTAGCTCCCCACTGGCTGTAGCCATGCACAACAGAGGTCCTCTCAGACGTATGTGCAGCTGTAGCTCCCCACTGGCTGTAGCCATGCACAACAGAGGTCTCTCAGACGTATGTGCAGCTGTAGCTCCCCACTGGCTGTAGCCATGCACAACACAGGCCTCTCAGACGTATGTGCAGCTGTAGCTCCCCACTGGCTGTAGCCATGCACAACACAGGCCTCTCAGACGTATGTGCAGCTGTAGCTCCCCACTGGCTGTAGCCATGCACAACACAGGCCTCTCAGACGTATGTGCAGCTGTAGCTCCCCACTGGCTGTAGCCATGCACAACACAGGCCTCTCAGACGTATGTGCAGCTGTAGCTCCCCACTGGCTGTAGCCATGCACAACAGAGGCCTCTCAGACGTATGTGCAGCTGTAGCTCCACACTGGCTGTAGCCATGCACAACAGAAGCCTCTCAGACGTATGTGCAGCTGTAGCTCCCCACTGGCTGTAGCCATGCACAACACAGGCCTCTCAGACGTATGTGCAGCTGTAGCTCCCCACTGGCTGTAGCCATGCACAACAGAAGCCTCTCAGACGTATGTGCAGCTGTAGCTCCCCACTGGCTGTAGCCATGCACAACACAGGCCTCTCAGACGTATGTGCAGCTGTAGCTCCCCACTGGCTGTAGCCATGCACAACAGAAGCCTCTCAGACGTATGTGCAGCTGTAGCTCCCCACTGGCTGTAGCCATGCACAACACAGGCCTCTCAGAAACTGGCACATGACACCTGGGAATAGAAGTATAGCAACAAGTTAATCAAGAAGAAGAAGCCAAGCAAGCGGAGGAACAAACTGAAAAGTATTTGTAGCTGTTTGCATCTTACAATTTTTGATCTAATATAGCTGGTGTCAATTCGCTGCAGCTCATTGGGGATAGGTCCCTGTTGACGAAACTGGAAGAGGTACAGTCGGCCAATCCGAGTAGCCGCCGCCTCTGATCCCTGATGATTGCACAAATAGAGAACTGTCAGTGTACAGGAGCCTAGCTCACGGCCACACCACCTTATACACAGACCAGCACAGTCTCAACGGGTATGAGAAGTAACAACTTTCTGATTTACAGTCAGTGACATACATTGTGGTGTATACAGTCATATCTTGGTTTTGATTGTCTGTCTAGCATTAGTGTCTACAGCAGGACTCTCCAACCCTGTTCCTGAGGGGTATTCCAGAAAGTCGGATTAGTGAGTTAGCGAGATCTGTCAAACCAAAATGTGAGTACACTCAGAATTTCTGGTTCCAGAAAGAGAGCTCAATGTATAGTCTGATTAAAAACCATAGCAACGAATGCTCTGAAGCAAACCTGTTACCTACTAGGTTCACTTGATCTTAGCCTGTCCTGGTGAATAAAGACAAGGCTTCTCAGCCAATCAGATTCTTGTCCGTCACTATGGCATGTCCCTTTGCGTAAAATCGAATTCACATCAGAGCCTGCATTGTTCGCTGTGCACTACAAATGGAAGGAATTATTGGACCTCGAATAGATCCTTTAGGTCATTCAGAAGATTTTCTTTTGGAATGTTATAGTTTTTCAGCACAATCATATATCTGGCCAACTTACTCAACCCCTACATAGACAATGTAACCCAATGCAGTTTTGCTTCTTCCGAAACTGTGGACATATTTAAAAGAGATCTTAAAACATATTTTTAGCTTTGCTTTTCCTCAGGGTGCTTTTTAGTTGTTCAGTTTGTGTCATTCTTTTGTTTTTGATCTCATGTTTGTTGTGTAGTAAATATCTCAGATTTTATTTTCATTGTTTTTTATTTCGTTTTTAAATATGTTTACATATTCGTTGTATGTTGTTACAATTGTTTCTTGTTGTAGACCGTATTTTGACTACATATCTGTACTTTTTTTCTGTCATTGACATGAGGACCTTTTTGAATGTTGCGTGCATGCTTCGGTTAGCCTAATTACTTAAACGAGAAGTATCCAATCTGGAACCAAGAAATCCCAGACTCTCTCATCTGGTTAAGGAAAGACTGATATGTTCAGGGAATCCTGAATTTGTTAAACTATCCTTCTGGAATACCCCCCTGGAGATCTAGCGCAATTGATTATAATAATTAGCTGGTTGGTAAGATAAATCAGGTTAGTTACAACTGTGGTTGGAGTGAAAACCTACAGCTCTCCAGTAACAGGGTTGGAGAGCCCTGGTCTACGGTCTTACCATGTCTGGCCCCTTATGTAGTTATGCCCCTTCTGTAGATATGTTCCACATGCCAGTATGTTTTGCCAATGTGGAATGGGGCACCACTCCACTGTGTAGGCACTCAGCTCTGTGTCGAACTCCTGTAGACTGCGGGTCCTTGACTTCCAAGCCATCCAAGATGTCTGTATATTACTGGACCACAGCACCTGTCAAATCTGGAAATATAGACAGTGTCAACAATTATTATGCCAAGGCGAGATACTAAAGCCACCATCAATAACATGAACATGGGTAACATAGGATTGGATTAAATATTAGTTAGCTTACTAGCTAGCTAACTATTTAACTGCTGGTTGAGACATGCAACAAGATCGCTAGCTAGCGCACATATTTAGAAAAACAATCACAATATTATCATAATTTACCTTCCTAGGCTAGCGTATAGACGAACATGTAGCTAGCTACACAGTTCAAACTACAATAATATATATTTGTTTACAGATCAACATATATTCTGAAAAAGAAGAACAAGATAATAACTAACACGTGAAGCAACTGCTCAGACTGCTGTGCGAACACTTCCTGATTGATGCTGCCACGTCACTGACTGGCTACACATTCAGCATCGAAACGTTGCACAGTGTTACAGAGACATGGGCTAGCACTGGCGGCAACCACTCACACAGTGGAGGTTCCCTGAACATCATCTCATGCTGCCTACACCAACACAAAACATGGATGGAAATCGACAGTTGACCCAAATGTCCTACTGCACCGTGGTAGATAAAAAGGACCAGTCTAAATTCATATGCTACACGCATAAAACATCGGAGATGTTCAATGTTGGGTGAGTGTTAATAGCTATCCATTTCCGTATATCTAACCATGCTTTTCTAACAACGATAACTAGCTAGCTAACAGAAAACTGTCCTAAATTGCTAGCTAGTTCTTGGCATTAAGCAACCAAACTAACAACACGTTTACATATCTCATCGATTTGGGTGAATCAGAAGCTCGTGCTGAGGTGTTTTAGAGATTGGCTAACAACAAATATTAAAGCGGCCTCTAGTGGTGCCAACTGGAGAATGCGAGATAGAAAAGAGCCACCTGTAAGAGAAAGAAACATGCATGATAGCTAGAGATGTTGTTGTTGTAGTGACATTACAGCTAACATAATTTACTTGTTTTCCTGTCCCAGTTTGACAAATGCCGCTGATGTTTGGAGCACAGATTTCACTGAGGAGACATTGAACCAGTTTGTAAGTATACTTATTGAACTAAACCTGCAAAGAGTAGCATTTTCCTTCTTTATTTGATAACATAATGACATGCACTATTATTTTCAGAGACAGAAGTTTGCCTTGAAGTCAACAGAGGATTATATCTTGAAAATCAGGCATGTTTTTCCCATTCCCCATTTCATGTACTCCTTGAGATCCTTACAAGATCATTGACTCTTTCGGACACATTTATACATTCCATGTCTTTATAATACTTATTACTTGTATTCCTCCCGTATCTTCTCCCAGGTCTGCCTGTGGCAGTGGGATTGTGTCTGTATCAGTGCAGGGCACCGGTGCAGTGCTCTGTGTAGGCACCAGTCCAGGGGACCTGAGTGTGACTCTGTCCAGACTGAAACAGCCCGAGGCCAAAGAGAAACTGAGAGAGCTGCTGTTTAGAATGGCAGACAGTCTGACTCGTTTAGACCATACAGGTAAGGTTTGGGACGGAGCCCTCATTCAGCACACAGTTCTCTTCTTATCATACTGACTCTGATCTAGGGAAGTTCAAGAACTTGCTAATTGCTGTTACAGATTGCATGTGTACTCTTTGATCCAACACCAGCACTCCTTGTTTTGTTTCTTGTCTAGCAGGCCCAGCCCCATTCAGTCCTGGAAAGAGTCCACACAAACGCAATACAGGTGACGTGTGCTGTTTTCTTTTGCCTTGTTACATTACAATAGACCATAGCTCGTCCTCATAGCTATAAAGGTGTAAAGTAAATGGTACTCTTGATTGTTCAGATTTTGAGCCAAGGAGACCGCCGCAGAGTGGCCAAATTCTGGCAGTCAAGAAGCGTCTTCCAGGAGATTCTCTTATCAACCCAGGAACAAGGAGGTACTGTACTTGTCTGAACCCCAAATGGCACCCATGCTCCTTCATATTGCACTTTTGAACAGAGCCCTATGGGCCCAGGTCAACAGTAATGCACTGGATAGGGAATAAGGTGCCATTTGAGACACAGCCACTGAGACAGTCGTTACATACTCCCATGCATCTGGGGATCCATTTGCAAAGAGACAAATCAACTGTTGTTGTTTTTCTGTCCTTTTCCAGAAAGCGTCAAGCAACGGGGGTGGCATTTGATGATGAAGATGATCCATGATGATTTGCTAAAGAGAAATTACCACAGTTGCCTTCCATCATCACTATAACATTTCTGCTGCATATAACAATTTAGTGTGTGAATGTTATTTTTAATCCACCGACACTATACCATACAGCTGCAACATCATTAAAAAATATATACCTATTTAATGCTGTCCACATGATGACATAATCTGCTTTTTAAGGACACATAGGTTGTCTCCAAAATTACACTATTCCCTAAATAGTGCAATACTTCTGACCAGAGTCATATGGGCCCTGGTAAAAAGTAGTGCACCATATATGGAACAGGGTACCATTTGGAAAACATCCATGATGATCATTACCTCAATCACTGTGTGAAAACTTGAAACAGGTTTTTAAATGTATTTTAATCTTGACATCTTGTAATAAACATTCATAAAAAATAAAGCCATTCTCCTTGTGCACTCATGCAGTTTTAGATATATGGATAAAGAGCCTCTATAACTATTCTTATTGTAATGGTGGGGAACTGTTGAATAATTTCAGTCAAACTCCTCATATGAAATGGATATATCACACTAGTATTCTCATGTCTTTATTGTAAGCAAAGTGCATATACAGTAAATGATTTGGTCCAAATACCTAATGTTTTCAAGGTAGCTAGAATACCGTAATTACATTTATGACCCAAATGATAGAAAGTACCCAACTGATAATCCCTGATTCATTTGTCTTGTTTAGTTTGTTTAAAAATCCAGATCACCTAACATGAAGCACAGAGTACAGAAACAACAGTAGAATCAGGAACAAGCCCAAATGTTACTTTAAGTCCAAATGTAACACGAGAACAATATGAACAGATGCTTTACAGCAGAATAATGTCAGACATATTTTCACAACATATAAATATATATTTATATTCATATGCACACATACAATACACTGCCTGGATAAAATCCAAAGCATTTTGCTATAGAGCAAAGCTGAGTATTCACTAGATTGATTGAATAATTATGTTCATCTCATAGTATACAGTATTTGCGTCCATGTAGGAATGCACCTAACACTCATATTTGCTGGTGTCATAAAAAAACTCCCGTGTTAAATAGTTTTACCCCAGATACCTTTATGCAGTGAATTCTGCACTGAAGAGAAACTGCAAGTATCCTAGAATTTGCTCTTTTTTTTAAAGACAAGCTTTGCTCAGGGAAATCTTCAAATACTTATTCAGAAGTATTTGAAGTATTCAGAAATGCATTGGGTGGCAACAGAAGTCTAACAGATCAAATGATGATCCAAACCATCCAAAATGGGCCTAAATCACATTGAAGTTCCTTTGAGGTCAAGGGTCACAGAACTCTAGTTTAAGTAGAGCATCATGGTCATCATTCAGTCTGAGTTAAAGGACACAAGTTTGTTTCAAGTTCAATACGTCTTTCCTTACGGCTTTTCAGATACATAACATAAACATATACAGATAGCATTACTTAACACATCTCAAAAACTGGTGTTTCTCATTCTCATATTAGTTCACATTAAAAATAATAATATTGTCCTGGTCTTCAGTAAAACATTTAACCTACTTTACATTCTGATTTAAAACTAATTACAACAGTCTGTTTGCTCTACTTAATAGTAAAAGGATAACAACCCCACCACAGTCAAGGAAAATTAGCAATTAAGTCCAAGTAGGTCCCACATGAAGAAATCACCAAAACATATGTTAAATTACATTGAATTAGTCCATGAAACAAATTAAGATTAAGTGTCCTCTGAGAAGAATAAAGATATATAACAACTGGCTCTTCACAACACAAACACTCCATGAAAAATATACAGTTCAAATCACATGCCAACATACTATTCAATGACATAAACCTTTCCCTTTATTAATGACGTGGTGTGGGTGTTCTTTAAATGTGCTCCAACTTCCAAATGATACGGTAAGCCAACTGCCTTTAAAGCATCTTGTAAATCATACAATCCATTTATCTCAAGTTCAAACTAAACAATGATCTGAAAGTTCAACTTCTTTGTCTCACAGTGATGGTCGTGCAGTAGTATATGCTTATTATTGTACTTCCTGTATGTGACCTTAAGTATTACATGAGAGAGTTATTATTAAGTTCAGTTCTTTTCACGGTTTTCAATAACTTGAATGATCTTGTTGATTACCTTCACTGTTAAGTATATTATTACATAGTGTACAACATATGATCTTCTGGGAAAGAATACAAATCATTATGATTTGTAGAAGCACAAAATAAAGCATTCAGTAGAAAGTGCTCTATTTGTCATGACGAGACAAAAATATAGTGTCCACTGTCCAAATGAAGAGGCTTGAGATTAAGGAGGCACCTTCAGCATCAACAAGTAGAACCATTACATTCTCTTAAAACAGGACATGTAGTGTAGCGTTCCTCTGTGACTCAATTAGTCTAATAAAGTGATTTCAAATAAAACTGCAATGATTCAGGACTCATGTCAAAACTTGGCACTTTTTCCTAAGTGCATTTACTTAGGTCTATAAACCATCATCAGTTATTGCCAAATCAATCACAGATCAGACATCTGTTCCATATACATTTCAATATCTAAAATAAACATTTATTCTTGCCATGGAAAAATATAGGTATTGTATAGACTGTATATGTATGACACAACACTGGTTTGACTGGTTTCATGACAGCATGCTCTCAAGGCAGGTGGATAAAAATTTTTTAAAGGGGGGGGGGGGGGGGGGGGGGGGTGTCATCTCTGGTTGAATAGGAACCCTGTGGATGTGTCCCAAATGGCACCCTACATACTATATAGTGCAATACTATGGACCAGGACCCATAGCACCCTATTCCCTTCAGTACATAATGCACTACTTTTGAACAGAGCCTTATGGGGCCCTGGTCAAAAGTAGTGCACTATATAGGGAATAGGGTGGCATTTCGAATTCAACCGTGTACTTTGGCAGGGACGGAACACATTTGAACAATGACGAACCACTAATTCACTGCGTCAAACAACTGATAAAAGATTAAACTCAGTAAGGTGGTCATATCAGAAGCAATGATATGTTATTTTCTGACATCATCAGCAATGAATGAAGCCAACCTACTAGCGAAGACAAATTTAATACGAAATCAAGCCTTTTGATTTTAGTCCTTACTAGACAGACCACATTGGTTTTCAGTGTTCCCATCTATCAATACATTCTCAAAAATAAATACATATAGACATTCCTATAACAACATATGTCCATTAAAATGTTCTCACTGTAGCAGTATGTTTCCCATGATGACAGGGGCCCTGTCTCTTGGACACTTCAGGCTTTAACCATGGCTGACGACTCTGTGACAGCTTTGAGAGGCTGACTTCACTTCTCTGCCCTTCTCTTCTCTGTCCCACTCCTTCTCTGAATCCCATGCCTCACTCTCTGTCACTGTTAGGTGTTTGAGGATAAAAATAACACTTCTCTTACTTTCCCTTGGGTAGATAGAGACGGTTGTCTTCCCATCCAAAAATGAACAGGTACATTCTCTTCCTCTGTCTGACTAGTTCATGTTATTTCCTCATCCCATATTTGTCTATAGACATGTCCCCTATGAATTTCCTCCTCCCAGTTTGTCTGTCCAATCACGCCCCCTCTCTGAGGTTCCTCCTCCCACTTTATCTGTCCAGGCACGACCGCTCTCTGAGTTTCCACAGTTCAACAGAGAGTATCTGTGTTAAAGGAGAGCTGCACCTGCCATGGAGAAACAACAGGAGGTTAGTAAGGGATTAAATACAGTTAAAGATGCAGTCCGGGATCTTAGGAACAACACATTCGTAACATACTGTACGAATTGGATTCATAACATACAAATCATACAAATAAAAATAAACGTTTTTGGCAGGACGTAACATATCATACGAAATGGATGACATGGTACAGAATTGGTTGACGTAGTACACAACAAATGAGGACCCATTTTGGCTCGTGAGCACCACTTTTAAAACTACTGGCTGAAATTATACAAAAATCGCTTTAAGTTCCCTTAGAGTTAAGAACACGCTTCATACTTAAGTTGATAAGTGCGATATGCAAAGTGTGTCTATGTAGACAACATCCCATCCCACTTTCTCTGTCTTATGCTGCATTCATATCATCTCGTAAATTCTTAAATACGAGCATATGACTAGGAAAAAACGATTTGAACGGCCCTTGAACTGGTAATTACATGTACATTTTAGTCACTTAGCAGACACTCTTATCCAGAGCGACTTACAGTAGTGAGTGCATATAGAGCTGTCCAAGTATGCACCCTCTGCCAACATCCTCTCCTCCCTCCTGCCCTAACCTCGCGGATAGAAAGAAGATCACAGAACAGGGCACGAAACGGACCCAAAAAACAGCCACCTCGACAACGAAGGGGGGACCACCGCTCCAGACCGCTCCGGCTCGAGCTACTCGCAAACTCCCGCTCCCCTCGACAGCAAACCGCTCAAAAGCTCCTTCGAAAAAAGAACAAAGAATGAGAAAATAAGAAGACTTCCCTCCTCCCTCCACTCCCCGAAAGACATGAAGTCCCCTTGAATACTCCCTCCGAGTCCTAAACCGACGAAATCGACTCCCAGCAAGAACGATACGAAAGCCAGCGTCCCTCCTCCTCCCCCTCTCCCCTCCCTTCCTCCCTCCTCCCTCTCCCTCCTCCCTCCCTCTCCTTCCTCACCCTCTCCTCCTCGAAGCTGATGAGGCCCTCATCGTCATCACTCTCTAGTTCCTCCGGTTCTTCGCTGACCAGGGCTTCGAGCTCCGTGTTGGCCAGCCGGGGCCTGAGCAGGGTTAGCAGGCGCTGCAGTGGCGACTGGCCTCCACCAGGGGGGGAACTCTCCTGCTGGTCCAGGTTGTCACTCTGCTTCTTGGCAAAGTTCACAAATACCTGGATAGAGAGGGAGAGAACACAGAGAAATGAAGGGACAAACAAGGGGATATAATTGAGACTTTTTAGCATCAATGTTTGAGCTGCAAGGCCTTCCTCAAGTCAAATTAAAAAAAATGAAAGAGAACAATGATCAGTGTGTGTGAGTGCACAGATTTAAAATCGAATTCTCTATTTTTCATATACATTTTCTATCTAATCATCTGTACTGTGTCAGTATGGAAATTACTCAAGCACAGCGTGACAGTAACTCACATTGTCCAGTGTGGTCTGGCTGACAGAGTAGTCTTCTATCCCCAGCACCTCCACCACCTGCTCCATCTTACTGAACACCTGGGCCAGGGAGATCCTCTCTGACTTCAGCTGGAACTGGACCTTAGTGTGGTGACTCTCCTGGGGACAGATTCAATTAAATTCAAACAAACTGTCTTTCTTGCACTCACACCCACACTTGTGTTTTCTTCATACCATTGATTCTGCTGATAGCGGCTATTTTAAAGAAGAGTGTACCTGTACTAACTGTGATAACTGTGATATGTGGTAGTTTTTTCCAACTAAACTTAGTTGAATGCGCTGACTGTAAGTTTGGAAAAGAGCGTCCGCTAAATGACTAAAATATAAATGTTATGTGCACCTTTAGTACAGCCTCAGGGAAATTCCTGTTGAAGAATCTCACCACCTCCTTCACACTGGAACTGGTCTTGGTCCGAACTGTGATCATGTAACCATCGCCAAACCTGTGGAAGGAAGGGAGACAACCAGGGTGAGAGTTGACAAGACACCCTGGCTCAATGACTCTTTCCTTGATTCCTTGTATCCTATCTCCTTGCCTCCTTTATCCAATAGGTTATGAGAAGTAGACGAGGAGAAAGGATACGAGGAAGTATGAAATGAGGAGGAGTCACAGAATACATATAACAGGATGTGTAACCATCTGGAAAAAAACGACAAGTTGAAAGGGTGGAGGAAGTAGAAAAAAGTAGGGTGATTCAGAGGTGATTGCAGATTATGTTGGCATGCCATATGTCTCTATCTTCTGGTTGGCCTAGCAACAGAGAAAGGCCAGAGCAGGCCCATTAGCTGAGTGTGTGAGTGTGTGTGTGTGTGTGTGTGTGTGTGTGTGTGTGTGTGTGTGTGTGTGTGTGTGTGTGTGTGAACTTCTGACCTGTTCTTGAGGTGCTGGATGCTGCCCAGGCATTTGAACCTGCCGTTGACCATGATGCCCAGTCTAGTGCACAGAGCCTCACACTCCTCCATACTGCAGACATAGAGACATTCACAGTTTATATTTCAGACATTTAGCACACACGCTTATCCAGAGTGACTTACATTCACCTCTATCAGCAGCATCAGAACCAGGTAGAAACAAACTAGTGCAGGTGTGAATGCAAGGCTGGGGATAACATGGGAATACACAATTATTACCCAGACACCTCAGTAATAAAAGGTATTAGTAAGCACATTAGCTGACATGTAAGTATGCAGTACATGTCTGATGAGAATGAGCGTCACACCTGTGTGATGTCAGCACCACAGAGCGTCCCGTCTTGAGGATGTCAAGGATGAGGTTCCAGAGGAATCTGCGGGCCTTTGGATCCATCCCTGTAGTGGGTTCATCCTAGATGACAATCACACAGAACGGCATCTGAGTTATTTACATCCTGCCCCACAAAGAATAGGACACAATCAGAGCTGAGTGTCTCCTGTCTTAACCAGACCAGAATAATTGGATAAACTATCTATGTAATAATAATATTAATTAGGTGGGTGCTTATATTTGTCCTTTTTCACACCCTCGGAGAGTGGGGTCACAGCCAGGGTCGGCCATTATCAACGGCGACCATGGAGCAATTAAGGTTAAGTGCCTTGCTCAGGGGCACGTCAACAGATTTTTTCACCTTCTCGGCTCGGGGATTCGAACTTGCGACCTTCCGGTTACTGGTCCAACCGCTAGGCTACCTGCCACCTCTACGTGTAGAGTGGAATATCCCAATATAGTCGTACAGCTTTTAATGAGTGGTGAGTGGTGATGCGGTTGAGGCTAACCAGGAAGACGAGAGAGGGGTATCCAATGAGGGCGATGGCAGTGGACAGCTTGCGCTTGTTTCCCCCACTGTAGGTGCCTGCGGGCTTGTCTGCATACTTGGACAGCTCCAGTTTCTCCAGGGCCCAGGAGACCACCTGGGAGAGGACAAAAGGAAAGAAATAGAGGAACTTTTCAACAACAATGACTCAGCAAAATCACACAGTAATATGCGTAATGTGGAGTGTGTGTGTGTGTGTGTGTCTGTGTGTGTGTGTGCGTGTGTGTGTGTGTGTGCATGCGCAAGTGCATGCGTTCGTTCTTGTGTGTGTGTGTGTGTGTGTGTGTGTGTGCATGTCTGTGTGTGTGTGTGTGTGTGTGTGTGTGTGTGTGCGTAGTAGCCGTACCCTTTCCTCATCCTTCCAGGGGATGCCTCGAAGGCGTGTGTACAGCTCCAGGTGCTCTCTGGCTGTCAGGTCTTCAAACAGGGCGTCAAACTGAGGACAGTAGCCAATGCTCTGCTGCACCCTCAACAGCTCCCTCAGGATACTAACAACAACACAGGGACAGAGGGAGCCTCGTGAATCACTCAACAACAACAACAATAACAACAGTGCCTGGGACCGTATTCATAAAGCGTCTAAGAGTAGGAGCGCTGATCAAGGATCAGGTCCTCCATGTCCATATAGTATTTCCATTATGGATCAAAAGGCTAAGCTGATCTTAGATCAGCACTCTTACTCTAAGACACTTTTTGAATAGCGGCTCTGAGATAAAAATGTTTTAACTAAGAACGTCATAACCCATTGAGATTAGCATTACCATCGTGCTTAAAGACCCATCTGGTGTACGTCCCAAATGGCACCTTTATAGTGCACTACTTTTCACCAGGGCCCATCAAAAGTAGTGCACTATAAAGGGAATAGGGTGCGATTTGGGACGCAGCCCTGGTGTACATGTAAAGTACCTGCTCCCCCCTATGAAGGCCTCTCCTCCCGTGGTGCTCTCGTCTCCAGTCAGCATCTTGAAGGTGGTGGTCTTCCCTGCTCCGTTCACACCCAGGAGGCCGAAACACTCCCCAGGACGCACGCCCAAACACAGCCGATCCACAGCCAAGATACGCCCCATCTTCCTCGATTTGTACACCTGATAGACACAGGACATGGAAGTCATTAACGGCGTCAACACCCTGTGAGACTCTGTTGACCTTGAATGCAGTGTGGTTTAAACCTCGGCTGTGTCTCAAAAGGCACCCTATTGCCTATCTAGTGCACCACTTTCGACCAGGGCCCTATGGTGCACTAGATAGGGAATAGGAGCTAAATGAAGGGGATCTCTGTGTCTGTCTGACCTTGGTGAGGTTGTCAATCTTCAGCATGTCGTTGTCAGCATCTCCTCTCAGTACTCTCCTTCTCTCACAGGCCACATCCACATCATCGTCCTCTATGGGCTGGCTACTGACTGGTACTCTCCTGTTATAGAACACATGCACACACACACACAGGGACAACACACACTCAGGGGCAGCATAGAACTAGAACACTGCAGTGGATCTTATTGGTGTAATACACACACACTAATGCATCCACATTGCACACACACACACACACACTCACGAGGGTTTCCTGAGGAAGTTGTACTGGCACAGGATGGTTATGAAGAAGCCTACAAAGCCCTCGATTGTCATGGCGACCAGCCCTCGAGTCACAATGTCCCACTCAAATGGAGACTTGATCTTGTCAAACTGACCTGAGAGTGACATAATAAAGAGAGATTCAACTTCTCAATTCCTTTTATTTATAAAGCCCTTTTTACATCAGCAGTTGTCTCAAATTGCTTTAAACAAAGTCCCAAAGTGCTATAGATTTAATATTATTAGCCCAGATATCAAATGTACAGTAGCTACTTGGAATAGCATTTTGAATATAACCACACCTATTTTAGCATAGTACTCATTGATGTATTCGTTGTAGGCCATTTCCATCAGGCCATGACCCAGGTTGTAGTTTGGGAAGATAAGGAAACATGACTTTAGGTAGCTGTTCACCAGTTTCAGATCCTGCAGAGAGAGACCGAAGAACAACAGTGTGAGGAAATCATGTTAAATATACTGGACCTAATCATAACAATACTTCTGGAACTGCTGTAGGGTTGCACAATTCTGTTCACTTTCCTAAAATACCTAGATTTTCCAAAAATCCTGGTTGGAGCATTCCAGATTTCCTGCTTATTCCTGCTTACTGATTCCTTGGAAACCTGGGAATTTTGGAAAGGTTACAGGAATTCTGCAACCCTAGCCGTAACTGCTGTTATGCTGTCAATAGAGTAAGACACACACCTTGTCATGCTCAAAGAGCTGCAGCAGGAAGGTAGCTACAGTGGCAGTGATGCCTATGAAGAGGTTGATGACAATGAGGAACACATAGGCCGTGCTGGGCACTTCAAACCAGAAGGAGGCAGGGTACATAATAGGAGTGATAGACCACCTGGAGGGAGGGAGGAGAGAGAGAGAGAAACACATCACGTTTCCCATGCCAATAAAGCCCTTAAATTTAAATTGAATTGAGAGAGAGAGAGAGAGAGAGAGAGAGGAGAGAGAGAGAGAGAGAGAGAGAGAGAGAGAGAGAGAGAGAGAGAGGGTGGGTGGGTGGGAGGAAAAGAGAGAGACGGGGAGAGAGAGAAAGAGAGAGAGAGGGGGAGGGAGGGAAATACAGAGTGATATAACAGGTCATATTCATTAAGTATGCATTACAGTTTCTTGATATCGTCAAGGACAGTTATGCATAATGCAAGGGCACAATGTCTATGCTTTTTTTTCCCCCAGGTTCAAAAAAACAATTGTTCCTCTTTTCTCTCATAAATGATGCTACAAATGAAGATAGGGCTCCAGCAGCACCACAGGGTGCCTCTTATACACTAGTGAATGTGATGACATGGTTTCCTCTTGACAAGCTTTAACAAGTAAGGCAAGAAAGTGAATATGTCCCAAATAACACTCTATTCCCTACATAGTGCACTACTTTAGACCAGAGCCCTATGCCAAAAGTAGTGCACTATACAGGGGAAAGGATGCCATTTGGGATGTACTGAGTGGGTAGAGAAAATAAGTGCTGTGTGGTAATAAGTAAAGTACACTCACCCATAGAGGAGGAAGAGAGAGAGGACCGCGGGGAAGTTGGTTGGGGATGTGTACGCAGGAAGGTCAAAGACAAACAGGATAAGGACACAGCACGTGGCTGGCACCAGGTAGTTCAACTGGGAGACAGAGAGAGACAGGAGAGTTTCAGTTAGATATGCTGGCAGAAATACACAATATCTCTCAAACATTCATAGTACCATCTGTGGGTGAATAGTACACAACACAAACAGACGGAAGATAGACAGAACGACGCGTGCCCTGACAGGAGTACACTACAGTAACAGTCACCAAGTCAATGACAATCCACAAGGAGTGGTTCAGCGTGGAAAGCAAAGCAGTAGCTAACTGGATTTAGGGATGGAGTTGTATCAATGCCTGGGGTCCAGTTTACTGTAGTAAACAAACTACTACCTACACTGGTTTATCTGTTCAGCAGTTTACATCTCACACACACACACACACACACACACTCACTCCACCCCCTCTCACCATGTCCCAAATGTAGTTAGCCAGCCAGTAGATGACTGGGTCACATCCAGAGACAAACTGCAGGTGCTTGGCCTTGGTCGACTTTTCTGCCACCAGGAAGACCACAAAGCTGGCTGGTACAAAGGACATGGCCACGATGATGAAGATGGCTATCACCACATCAGTGCCCTGGAGCCTGGAGGGACAAACAGAGACTTAAGACAGTGGGTGCATGTCAGATGGCACACTATTCCCTATATCAGGGGTATTCAACTCTTACGCTATGAGGTCCGTAGCCTGCTGGTTTTCTGTTCTACCTGATAATTAATTGCACCCACCTGGTGTCCCAGGTCTAAATCAGTCCCTGATTAGAGGGGAACAATGAAAAACACACAGTGGAACTGGCCTGAGGTCCAGAGTTGAGTTTGAGGGCCCTATATAAGTTGAGTTTGAGGGCCCTATATAGTGAATTACTTTCAACCAGGGCCCATAGGGATCTGGTCAAAAGTAGTGCATTATAAATTATATAGGGAATAGGGTACCATTTGGTACACAACCTTGGTAAGAAAGTTATTGTCAGAAATGTTGTGCCACAGTTTAATAACTGAACACATAGATTCTTACAGGTAGTCCAGAGAGAGGCTTGCACTGGTGCGGTTCATGGGGTGATTGGTCAGGGTGATTCCTGTGGACCCAACAAAAGGGGTTGAATGGGGGCAGGCACTGTACATTCCCATAGAAGATCCCCAGATACAAAGGAACCTTGAACATGCATTTTCACACAAATAGCTACTAAATTCACAGAATCCTAGCCTGAGTGCCAGTCTGTTTGTGCTATTATACCAACTCTCTGCCCCGCACATGTTTGGCAAGAACACAAACAGATCTGGGACCAGGCTAACAGAACCCCACGTGCTCCAGGTTATAGTATGTATAGGTAGCCACTCTCACCGTATGCAGCAGGGTTGCCCTTGCCTGGAGGCAGGTTGGCACGCAGGATGGCGTTGTTGAGGACGTTGAGATAGGTTGGCATGCTGTGGTACCCTTTATTATTGTACAGCACCTATTAGGAGGGGACAAGTCTGTCACTGGCAATGACACAGCAGCGCAAATAGTGCAGTGTTATAATAACCCTGCCCATGAAACTGACACCAACGTTGTGTCTTAAGTGGCACCTTATTCCATATATGGTGCACTACTGTTGACCAGGGCCCAGGTCAAAAATGGTGCCCTATATAGGGAAAAGGGTGCCATTTGGGACGTATCCTGGCTCTTTAAGAAAATGCCCTTCTGCTCACCTGAGCTGATCTGCGCACGGCTATTTTGCGAACCATGGGTGGATTATTTTCCCCAAAGGATGCTGGGACTGATTTCTGTACGTTGCCTACTGTGAGTCCTCCATATCTAGAGAGAGAGAAAATAAGAAACAGGGAAGAGAGAGAAAGACAATTGGATGGATGCCATACCTCTTCCCCTCCTTCCCTGTGTGTGTGTGTGTGTGTGTGCTTCTGTTTGTATGAGTGTGTTACCTGTGCAGACGCAGTCTGTCGGAGGTGTAGAGGAGGTACTCTGACACGTTACGCCCGGTGATGTCCACCAGAATGTCCCCGGTGACCACCTTCATGAGGGGTGGCCGCCCTCCCACCCCACTGGGGCAGGAGAAGCCTGTCCCCTGCATGGAGCAGATACAACGAACCGGCTCGCGGATGGACCGCGGCAAGGTTGGGGGAGAGGTCACTGTTTCTGAGGACACACACAGTACAGGGGGCAGGATTATTAGGGAGGCTACTGTACAGGACTCAGTAGAGTCAGCCTTGTTTCAACCAGAACGGCCTATACAGGACTATGCAGCTATAATTGTCAGACAAGACATCATAAAAGAAAATAATATAATGTGACATAGAGTAATTCAATAATATATACAGTTGAAGTCGGAAGTTTACATACACCTTAGCCAAATACATTTAAACTCAGTTTTTCACAATTCCTGACATTTAATCCTAGTAATAATTCACTGTCTTAGGTCAGTTGGGATCACCACTTTATTTTAAGAATGTGAAATGTCAGAATAATAGTAGAGAGAATGATTTATTTCAGCTTTTATTTATTTCATCAAATTCCCAGTGGGTCAGAAGATTACATACACTCAATTAGTATTTGGTAGCATTGCCTTTAAATTGCTCAACTTGGGTCAAACGTTTTGGGTAGCCTTCCACAAGCTTCCCACAATGAGTTGGGTGAATTTTGGCCCATTCCTCCTGACAAAGCTGGTGTAACTGAGTCAGGTTTGTAGGCCTCCTTGCGCGCACACGCTTTTTCAGTTCTGCCCAAATATGTTCTTTAGGATTGAGGTCAGGGCTTTGTGATGGCCACTCCAATACCTTGACTTTGTTGTCCTTAAGCCATTTTTCACAACTTTGGAAGTATGCTTGGGGTCATTGTCCATTTGGAAGACCCATTTTCAACCAAGCTTTAACTTCCTGACTGATGTCTTGAGATGTTGCTTCAATATATCCACATAATTGTCATGATGCCATCTATTTTGTGAAGTGCACCAGTCCCTCCTGCAGCAAAGCACCCCCACAGCATGATGCTATCACCCCCGTGCTTCACGGTTGGGATGGTGTTCTTTGGCTTGCAAGCAACCCCCTTTTTCCTCCAAACATAACGATGGTCATTATGGCCAAACAGTTCTATTTTTGTTTCATCAGACCAGAGGACATTTCTCAAAAAAAGTACAATATTTGTCCCCATGTGCAGTTGCAAACCGTAGTCTGGCTTTTTTAGGGCGGTTTTGGAGCAGTGGCTTCTACCTTGCTGAGCGGCCTTTCAGGTTATGTCGATATAGGACTCGTTTTACTGTGGATATAGATACTTTTGTACCTGTTTCCTCCAGCATCTTCACAAGGTCCTTTGCTGTTGTTCTGGGATTGATTTGCACTTTTCGCACCAAAGTACGTTAATCTCTAGGAGACAGAACGTGTCTCCTTCCTGAGCGGTATGATGGCTGCGTGGTCCCATGGTGTTTATACTTGGGTACTATTGTTTGTACAGATGAACATGGTACCTTCAGGCGTTTGGAAATTGCTCCCAAGGATGAACCAGACTTGTGGAGGTCTACAAATATTTTTCTGAGATCTTGGCTGATTTCTTTTGATTTTCCCATGATGTCAAGCAAAGAGGAACTGAGTTTGAAGGTAGGCCTTGAAATATATCCACAGGTACACCTCCAATTGACTCAAATGATGTCAATTATCCTATCAGAAACTTCTAAAACCATGCACAAAGTACAGTAGATGTCCTAACCGACTTGCCAAAACTATAGTTTGTTAACAAGAAATTTGTGGAGTGGTTGAAAAACAAGTTTTAATTACTCCAACCTAAGTGTATGTAAACTTCCGACTTCAACTGTAGATATGATAGCTAAAACATTTGCCTACATACAGTATATATAAAGTATCAAACATATCCTTTCCACTGTTTTTTTACCACCTGAGCCTAGCAGAGACTTACCCCGGACAGTGGTAAGAGTGGCAGCAGTGAAGTTCCACTGTCTATCCTCAAAACGAGGGTCGGGGTCATCTGAGGGGGCTGGCGAGGGGGGAGGGGGTACGAAGTTGGACAGGGGCACTCCCTGGGTGAAGGAATCCAGACACATGGAGTCAAAGTAGCGGGCAGCCAGGGTCTTGGAGTTGTTGGCGCTGGGGTTGAGCGTCTGTGCCAGCTGGTCCAGGGTACTGTTGAAGGGCGTTTTGAGGACGCAGGTGGCACCCACTCCCGATGGCAGACGCAGTGTGTTGGCGATCTTCTGGGGGCTGGCGTCTGGGGACAGTTTACTGCTGAGGAGAGGAAGAACAGGAGGCTGTTGGAAAGTTATAGACACCAGCTTTACAACATTGGTGGCCTGTAGATTGGACTAATGATTTTGTGTGATTACTGAGACTCAGATAAGATGCACAAATGAAAGAATAATGCTACTTGTCAGAAGGAATTATATGATTTACATTTACATTGTGTATATGTTGGCATGATGGTAATGAGTGACATACGGTCTGTCTGACCTGTACTGTGGGCGGTCTTCGTTGGCGTAGGGGATGAAGTTGCCACGAGGCTGGGTGTAGTTGTGGTACTGGGATGGAGACAAGACCAATGGTGGCAGGTCTCCTGAAGAACAGAAGAACAGAGATCACATAAAGACAACCTACAAATACTGACAAACAACCAAGTCCATTTTAACTTCAACTGTAGCTAGTTGAACTTGAGAAAAACTGTACTTGTCTTTCTTGCATTCACACCTGCACTTGCTTTTTTTCTTCCTGGCTGATTCTGCTGAAAGCGGCTATTTTGAAGAAGAGTCTACTTGCAGTAACTGTGGTATGTGGTTGTTTTTTTCCTTCTAAACTTAGTTGAGTGCATTGACTGTAAGTCGCTCCAGATAAGAAGTTCTGCTACATGACTAAAATAATAATGTAAAATATAAGTAAAGTTGTCCTCACCGATGGAAGGCACCGACAGGGCCACGGTCATGGCCACACAGACGAAGAATGCAGGCAGCAGGATCTGAGAGAAGAGACCCTTGGTGTTCCTCTTGGCACAGTGGAACCTCTTGACGATGAGGCCGTGGAACTGACGTAGCTTCAGCCACCAACCCTCAAGCTTGAAGCTGCCCTGGCCCTCCAGAACCACAGGCTGCTCAGGGCCAGAGGCCTCGTCCCATTCCGCTAGAGATACAGAGAGATGGAGAGAGAAATGAACAAGGTCAAAAATCATCTCACACAACGGAGTAAAATGAGCCTCATTAGCTCATCCAACCACACTGTATTTCATTGCACCATTTCATTGGTTGATGTGGTAAAAGAGAATGTGTTCTTGTGTTCTTAATATAGTTGCAAAGGGAGGGAATATTACTGGAAACTTTTGAAGTTTAGAAATTTGGTAACTTTCAAGGAATATGTGGAATTTTATCAGATGACATCTTGTGGCCTTTTCACAAGATTATCACAGGTGTCTGTAATTATCTCTGGCCGTCTGTGTGGCCTTATAACGTGTAAAATATATAACAATCTAATACGATTATTTTTAATGATTTTAAATGACAAAGCTGTAAAAGATTATCCTAAATATAAACCATCAAGTTAGTGAATACCATTGGTGTTCAATATGAATGTTTAAGCATGAAATATCCTTTATCTATTTTTTACACACTTTCATTCATTTGACTTTGTCAATATGTATTTTTTGTGAATGTTTTGGGGGTAAACTGGTGGCTGTAGTGAAAAAAAGACAATAGTTGGAAGAGTTGCAGAGTTAATTAAAAATACTGTTCATTAATTAGGCTATTTTCTCTTGAACCATATGGTCTATCTACTAGAAAGTCATGGACAATATGGACACAGATATATAAAAAGAAACAATACTACACATATATATACATTTATATATTTTTAAAGTTATTTAAGTATAAATTACCTAAATTACCATAGATTACGATAGATGACCTGTTAATGGCCAAAATTACCGAAGATTCCGGTAACTTTGGTAAATTATCGGTAGCTTTGAACCCTAGTTCTTAATAACCTACCTGGTTAAATATAATGAAGATAATCAAGTTTTTTACTGAGTTACACCTTCCATATCTCATTCAGTCTATTGCTATGACAAAACAATGTTACGCTACTCAGTCAAAGGGATTATGAGGGGGCTGGGATGGATCCTCTCTTACCCGTCAGGCTGGTAGAGTCAGGGTCTTGTCTGTTGTCAAAGAGGGGACAGTAGTCTCCGTAGAAGTCTGTGTAGAGCCCCCCCTCGTCCCCCCGTACGGACCCCAAGGATGAGGAGGAGCGCAGGGACGATTGACTCTGGCTGAGCCTGGAGCAGTTTACCAGATTACTGAGCTCTACCTCTGGCCTCAGCACACTGCTGCTGCCTCCTGCAGGAGCCCCAGGCCCCGGGCCTTCACCCTGCGGATAGGGATAAAGTAAGTAAAATAAAATAAGCCTTGTCTGAACCAGAACGGCCCATAGAGCAGGAGCCTATTTCATGTTTCTGTAACGTGGGGCAGCTTGATGTACAAGTACACGCCCTGGACAGGACGCAAGTCTATCACAGGGATGAGGGATGGGTAAATTAGATAAATCTATTAATTCATTAGTCATTCAAGTGTGTCTGTATCAATTAGAAAATGTGGGAATTTAAAAGAACAAAAAAACTAAATTGTGACATTCTGCATCACTAGAAAGCTGAATTAATTTAAGTATATGGACATTATTCTGTTTTGCGACCATCAAGTAATCAATTCTGAAAGAAATTGTGTTGAACTCATCCTTACCTGCGGCCCTCCAGGGGCCCCCAGACCCACCACCGCAGCAGCAGGCATTGCCACTGAGCTACCGCCTGGGGAATCCTTCATGTCTGGGAGGAGAGAGAGATCATCATTAACATTTAAAAAGACTAAATACACTACATATACAAAAGTATATGGACACCCCTTCAAATTAGTGGATTCGGCTATTTCCGCCACATCCGTTGTTGACAGGTGTATAAAATCGAGCACACAGCCATTCAATCTCCATAGACAAGCATTGGCAGTAGAATGGCCTTACTGAAGAGCTCAGTGACTTTCAACGTGGCAACATCATAGGATGCCACCTTTCCAACAAGTCAGTTTGTCAAATTTCTGCCCTGCTGGATCTGCTCTGATCAACTGTAAGTGCTCTTATTGTCAAGTGGAAACGTCTAGGAGCAACAACGGCTCAGCCGCGAAGTGGTAGGCCACACAAGCTCAAAGAACGGTACCGCCGAGTGCTGAAGCACGTAAAGATCATCTGTCCTCGGTTGCAACACTCACTACCGAGTTCCAAACTGCCTCTGAAAGCAGCGTCAGCACAAGAACTGTTCGTCGGGAGCTTCATCAAATGGGTTTCCATGGCCGAGCAGCCGCACACAAGACTAAGATGAACATGTGCAATGCCAAGCGTGGGCTGGAGTTGTGTAAAGCTCACCGCCATTGGACTCTGGAGCAGTGGAAACGCGTTCTCTTGAGTGATTAATCACGCTTCACCATCTGGCAGTCCGACGGGCGAATCTGGGTTTGACGGATGCCAGGAGAATTCTACCTGCCCTAATGCATAGTGCCAACTGTAAAGTTTAGTGGAAGAGGAATAATGGTCTGTGGCTGTTTTTCAGGGTTCGGGCTAGGCCCCTTAGTTCCAGTGAAGGGAAATCTTAACGCTACAGCATACAATGACATTCTAGACGATTCTGTGCTTCCAACTTTGTGGTGACAGTTTGGGGAAGGCCCTTTCCTGTTTCAGCATCACAATGGCCCGTGCACAAAGCGAGGTCCATACAGAAACGGTTTGTCGAGATCGGTGTGGAAGAACTTGACTGGCCTGCACAGAGCCCTGACCTCAACCCCATCGAACACCTTTGGGATGAATTGGAACACCGACTGCGAGCCAGGCCTAATCACCCAACATCAGTGCCCAACCTCACTAATGGTCTTGTGGCTGAATGGAAGCAAGTCCCCGCAGCAATGTTCCAACATCTAGTGGAAAGCCTTCCCAAAAGAGTGGAGGCTGTTATAGCAGCAAAGGGGGGACCAACTCCATATTAATGCCCATGATTTTGGAATGAGATGTTTGATGATCAGGTGTCCACATACTTTTGGTCATGTAGTGTAGATAACTTGTGAAAAGTCTATATCAGCATTTAACATCCGGCAACTCAGACGCTACACTGCAAGCTCAGCAGAAACGAAATTCATGATGTGAATTTAATTGAATTATTAACGTAATAAAGCCCTTCCACAAACAACTTTATTGATCCGTTTAGCTGCAGACAGACACACTGGGATTTGGTCTCACCCACAAAAATAGAATCACTAGAATGGGCATCCCTATTCAAGTCAATGATACCATAATGGGTGGATTGGATTGGCAGCCGTTTTGAGTGTACTCACCTGCATCACTGTTCTCCAGGGACTGGTCCTCCTCTGACACCTTGAGGAAGACCTCCTCCAGAGTGGTGTCCATCACCCCAAAGCTGGTCAGAGCCAGAAGGTCCAGACTCTGCTCTAACGCCTAGGAATAGGGAATATGGGCTGTGGTTAAAAGTAATGCACTAGAGGGCCTCCCGAGTGGCGCAGCGGTCTAAGGTACTGCAGTGCTGGAGGCGTCACTACAGATCCGGGTTCGATCCCGGGCTGTATCGCAGCCGGCCGCGACCGGGAGACCCATGAGGCGACGCACAATTGACCCAGCATCGTCCGGGTTAGGGGAGGGTTTGGCCGAACGGGATGTCCTTGTGCCATCGCGCTCTAGCGACTCCTGTGGCGGGCCGAGCACATGCCACAGGAGTTGTGATTTATTTATTTTTTATTACAAAATACATGCTGACACGGTCGCCAGTTGCACAGTGTTTCCTCCGACACATTGGTCCAGCTGGCTTCTGGGTTAAGCAAGCAGTGTGTCATGAAGCAGTGCGGCTTGGCAGGGTCATGTTTCAGAGGACGCGTGGCTCTCGACCTTCACCTCTCCTGAGTCCATACGGGGGTTGCAGCGATGGGACAAGACTGTAACTACCAATTGGATATCACGAAATTGGGGGTAAAAAGTAAATAATTAAATGAAACAAATTAAAAAGTAGTGCACTATAAAGGGAATAGGGTGCCATTGGGGACGCAGCCTGAGTCTGTCTGTCTAAGTGAGTACCTGAAAGAGTCTCTAGGTCTTTGTCTGTCTGACTGTGTGCCTTCATCTCTAGGTCTGTGTATGTGTCGAAGTGTGTACCTGAAAGAGCCGCTCGAAACAGCCCTTCTTGACAGCCTCCGAGGGCAGCACGTAGGACAGCTCAGTGTTGGAGTCAGACACCAGCAGACAGGACCCCACAAACTGACGGATGAACTTGGTGACCCGGGCCTCTGAGCAGGGAGACAGGGAGGAGGAGGAGGGGGACAGGGAGGAGGAGGGGGACAGGGAGAAGGGAGGCTGGGGCTGGGTGACCTGGTCTGGAGGCACAAACACACAACATTATGGATGGATGGAGGACAAGGAGAATAAGTAGGCAACAGGAAAAATAGAGGAGAAACTTTAGAGGCAAAATATGTACAAGCAGTAGGGGAGAGTGGGGTAAGGTGAGTCACCCTTGTTTCTAGGAAACCATACACAAAATGAATCATTTAGGGTGAGGTCATCATTTCATGGAGTCTATGAAGGAAGAAACCACTTGGAAAAAGTGGTAAGCAAGTTAGGTCCAAAAAACTGATTTTCACCAAGTCAAAATAATTTATTGTGTTAGAGGTTTCATGATGCTTGTATCTAACCCAATGTATATAATTTCAAGATTGTTCTATACATCAGTTGGGGTTTCTATAAGCTTCAATATGATGTCCTAAACCTATCATGAAAGTGCATCCTTGTAGCTGTGTGGGCTAATATTGTCAAAATGTTTGCCTTAGGGTAAGTTGAGCCAATGGCCATGGAGCAAGTTGAGGTAATGGCAAGAAAGAGCAAATTTAAGTGTTTTCTTCCCAGGCATAATGCAAGGCATTATACATTTAAGGATATGAGGTAACAACACGGCCTGGCCTATGTTAAAAGTGTTTGTTAGGTGTTAAGCCTGTGTTAAATATGCTTTAAATGATTAAAATACAAAAAGTGATTGTGATAGTGTTGGATTGTGTTTGGGAAATAACCATAGACATGGTTTAAAAAAGGTAATGGTAATATTTCATTCAGTACAGAAATGTGTAGGTCCATACCAGTGGTAAGTTGTGCCAAGAGACGATTTTTTTGGACAAGCTATGTTTTCAAAACTGTAATGTTTACAGTACATGAACTATGATTATTTCCAGGGATACACAACTTCATGAAATATACAGTTGAAGTCAGAAGTTTACATACACTTAGGTTGGAGTCATTAAAACTTGTTTTTCAACCACTCTATAATTTTGGCAAGTCGGTTAGGACATCTACTTTGTGCATGACACAAGTAATTTTTCCAACAATTGTTTACAGACAGATTATTTCACTTATAATTCACTGTATCACAATTCTAGTGGGTCAGAAGTTTACATACACTAAGTTGACTGTGCCTGTAAACAGCTTGGAAAATTCCAGAAAATGATGTCATGCCTTTAGAAGCTTCTGATAGGCTAATTGACATCATTTGAGTCAATTGGAGGTATACCTGTGGATGTATTTCAAGGCCTACCTTCAAACTCAGTGCTTCTTTGCTTGACATCATGGGAAAATCAAAGAAATCAGCCAAGACCTCAGAAAAAAAATGGTAGACCTCCACAAGTCTGGTTCATCCTTGGGAGCAATTTCCAAACGCCTGAAGGTACCATGTTCATCTGTACAAACAATAGTACGCAAGTATAAACACCATGGGACCACGCAGCCGTCATACCGCTCAGGAAGGAGACGCGTTCTGTCTCCTAGAGATGAACGTACTTTGGTGCGAAAAGTGCAAATCAATCCCAGAACAACAACAAAGGACCTTGTGAAGAAGAGGAAACAGGTACAAAAGTATCTATATCCACAGTAAAACGAGTCCTACATCGACATAACCTGAAAGGCCGCTCAGCAAGGAAGAAGCCACTGCTCCAAAACCACCATAAAAAAGCCACACTACGGTTTGCAACTGCACATTCGTACTTTTTTGAGAAATGTCCTCTGGTCTGATGAAACAAACATAGAACTGTTTGGCCATAATGACCATCGTTATGTTTGGAGGAAAAAGGGGGTTGCTTGCAAGCCGAAGAACACCATCCCAATTGTGAAGCACGGGGGTGGCAGCATCATGCTGTGGGGGTGCTTTGCTGCAGGAGGGACTGGTTCACTTCACAAAATAGATGGCATCATGAGGAAGGAAAATTATGTGGATATATTGAAGCAACATCTCAAGACATCAGTCAAGAAGTTAAAGCTTGGTCGGAAATGGGTCTTCCAAATGGACAATGACCCCAAGCATACTTCCAAAGTTGTGGCAAAATGGCGTAAAGACAACAAAGTCAAGGTGTTGGAGTGGCCATCACAAAGCCCAGACCTCAATCCTATAGAAAATTTGTGGGCAGAACTGAAAAAGCGTGTGTGAGCAAGGAGGCCTACAAATCTCTGTGTCTGTCAGGAGGAATGGGCCAAAATTCACCGAACTTAATGTGAGAAGCTTGTGGAAGGCTACCCGAACCGTTTGACCCAAGTTAAACAATTTAAAGGCAATGCTACCAAATACTAATTGAGTGTATGTAAACTTCTGACCCACTGGGAATGTAATGAAATAAATAAAAGCTGAAATAAATCATTCTCTCTACTATTATTCTGACATTTCACATTCTAAAAAAAAGTGGTGATCCTAACTGACCTAAGACAGGGAATTTTTACTAGGATTAAATGTTAGGAACTGTGAAAAACTGAGTTTAAATGTATTTGGCTAAGGTATATGTAAACTTCTGACTTCAACTGTATGTAGATATCTTTGTTAGAAAGAATTCTATATTTCCCTTGAAGGAGTGATGCTGAATGTAAAAAATGGCTCAACTTACCCCACTCTCCTCTAAATGTACAAAGACTTGGATAGAGAAAGTGAAAACATCTGACAGCTAGTGAAAAATACAAAAGACAAACACACACACGAGGAAAGAAAGACCCACCGCCACTCTCACTCTGTTTCTTGACCAGGGTGAGTTTGTAGCCGTCTCCGTAGGTGCTCTTGAGAAAGAGTGGTGAGCCACAGCACTTGAGTTTTCCATGGGAGATGATAGCTATGCGGTCTCCAAGCAGGTCAGCCTCATCCATGTGGTGGGTGGACAGCAGGATGGTACGGCCTAGAAACACAGTTAAAAAAAGGTACTTTCAATGTACATAAAAATTTATCAATGCATTGTTTTTTGAGTGTTAGTGTGAGAAGTTTTGACTGGACCTTATGGGCACTGTGTAGGGAACAGGGTTACACCAGGTCAAAAGTAGTGCACTGTATAGGGAACAGGGTTACACTAGGTCAAGAGTAGTGCACTGTAGTGTGTGAGGTTGACATTTCACCTGTTGTATTCGGCCCATGTGACAAATAAAATTTGATTTGATTTTGATTTGATGTCTCACCCTGTTGTGAGTGCTAATGTGTGAGGGTTAAGGTTAGTGTGTGTGGTTGACCCATGTCTCATCCTGTTGTGAGTGCTAATGTGTGAGGGTTAGGGTTAGTGTGTGTGGTTGACCCATGTCTCACCCTGTTGTGAGTGCTAATGTGTGAGGGTTAGGGTTAGTGTGTGTGGTTGACCCATGTCTCACCCTGTTTGTACTTGAGGATGAGGTCCCAGATGGCTCTGCGTGCGTAAGGATCTACCCCTGCCGTGGGCTCATCCAGGATGACTGCCCGGGAGCCGCCCACAAACGCTATGGCTACAGACAGTTTCCGCTTCATTCCTCCAGACAGAGTCTGGACCAGGCTGTGCCGTTTATTACTCAGCTCCAGATCCTCGATCATCCTGACAACACAAACACAACATTTAGTCATTTACATTATTTTGAGCTGTGGATAGGTATAATTAGTTACCACTGCTGGCACCCGTATTTCATAGGCAAAATTGCCATGGGGATGGGAGGGTGGCAAAATGTTTAGACTGCATGAGATGACCTATGAAAAAGCACATTTCTCTCTCTTCCCCATGGCAAAATGTGTAGAATTGCAGGAAATTAGCTTTAAAACTGCAAGAATTCTCTCTGCCCCATGTCAAAATGTGTTGAAATGCAGGAAGTTAGCTGTTTTCCGGGGTCCCAAATGCATCTCCTCTGCTCAGCTGCACTGTCTATTCAAGCCCCTCCCCCACATATTTCTGTCAGGGGTGGTACGAGGGGGGGTTGGCACCAGACCCCCCTGAAATATGATTGGCCACCTTTGGTGACCCCTCCCACATTCTTATCGGGTCAGAGGGCTGCTCAGATTGAATCATTCTATTTTTTTCGTTGGCTGGAATATTTTTGGGGGGCTGCTCCATCAAGTTTAACGAGACCCAGCACCACTGGCAGGCTAAAACGAAAGCACCAAAACAGTATTACATCGTCTGCGCTTCTGTCGTTAGAATAAACACTTTCATAATGACCGAGTGGATGCTGACAGAATACGGTCGGGAGACAGACTCGGGAGTCGGGATCAACATTCAACGACACAAGTGTCAGTCTTTGTCCATGGTATGTTCACACTCAATTATTATATATTTATTTTTAAATATGGACTGGGCACAAGGTAGGTGTACTCTAACTATAATAAAACTCAGTCTTCATCTTTTGTGTCTTATTAATATTTGCCTTGAAATAATGATGGTAACGACTTATCCTTCCACTTACACTTCAGAATAACCAACAACAGAGGTATAATGAGTCATGTCAAGAATTGCAGGAAATGCGTTTTTAAATGTCTCAGAAATTACGGGGGAGGACCCCAGGACCCCCCGTCTACTGTTCGTCCCCCCCAAATTCTACACCACAATTTCGCCCTTGCTGTAATTATATATACCATCTCTACCCTTCAACATGAAGAGGTGAGCTTTTATCCTAATCTATCTAAAGCCATGTTGATAGTTTAACACCTTAGGGTCTTTAATTTGGTTAAACCATAAAAATGGGATGTGACATACTTGTCCATCTCCTTGCGGATGTCTTCCTCGGCCATGCCTTTGAGTTTAGAGTAGAACCACAGGTGCTCCTCCACACTGAGCTTGTCAAAGAGCACGTTGTGCTGGGGACACATACCCAGGTTCTGCCTGATACGCTCCATGTCAGTACGGATGTCATGACCGTAGATGGTGGCTGAGCCCGAGGTGGGCGGGAACAGACCTGTCAGAATAGACCTGGGGATGGTAGCAGAAAACTAATGGTAGTTATTGATAGGGTTAGTTATAGAAGGAAGAAATGGACACAGAAAACAAAGGTGACACTGTATTTGAAGGCCATTTTGTGGACGTTATGGGGGATGTTATGGGAATGTTATGGAAAGATTATGGGAAAGTTATGGTGATGTTATAGCCAACATTATGTACGGCCTGTTTTTAATTCATCATTACATGAACATCTTTAAAAAATAGTTCGCCTATGTTCATCACAGACTATTAAATAATAGTTCATAAGCGGTTGATGAATAGCCCTTCAAACACAGTCTTACCAAAACATACAACACAAACCTCTCTGTCTCCTTCTGTGAATCCACACGTAAACACAACACAACAACAGAAATGACTGGGACCCTCTAACACACGTGGGCACATACACATTTATCCCTCTCACATGGTGGTTGTCTTGCCGGCTCCGTTATGGCCCAGGAAGGACACCACCTGGTTCTCGTGGAGGTTGAGGCTTAGCTTGTTGAGGGCCAGCTTATTGCCCGTCTTGTAGATCTTGGTCAGCTTGTCTATACACACCACCAGGGGCAGGTGGCTGGGCTCCTCTTCCATACCACGCATCTCCTCTGGAGGGAGGTAGAAAGATACAGAGAGAGATAATATGACATTTGAAATGTGTCTATTTGTTTGATACTTCTGAGTGTAATGTTTACTGTTCATTTTTCCATTGTTTATTTCAGTTTTGTTTATTATCTATTTCAGTTGCTTTGGCAATGTAAACATATGTTTCCCATGCCAATAAAGCCCTTAAATTAAATTAAATTGAGAGAGAGAGTGAGAGAGGATACAGGCATTGTCACAGAACACGGGCAGAACCTGAACCAATTTCAGTTTCACACGTGTAAACTGATAAACATTTTTGTCCATGCGGCAAGCCACTGACAGAGGTGACAACAGATTAAAACAGACATACTCTTGTTCCTAAAAGTTCAATACAAACATCTGGTAGGGCTTACCAGATCGCTGGTTGTCAGAGGTCAGGCTGCCGCTTGGCTTACCAGATCGCCGGTGTTCCATGGCACACGCCTGGTCCTCTTCCATGACACTCAGCCTGGCTGCTCCTCCCCAAGGCCAATCCCACGTCTCCACACGCCCACTGCCCAGCCAATAGGACTTCTGCAGGGGGAAGTACCACGGCCGAGGCAGCCCATACATCCCTGGAGGAGAGTCAGACCACTACTTGACCAGTACTACTTTGAACAGGACCCATAAGGAATAGAGCTCACCTGCTTACAATCCTTTTTTTCTCATATAATTTAAAAAACTGTTCGCTAGGCATAGGCAAGACCATAAGCAAATAGGTAAACTGGGATAATACTAAAGAGTTAATCAGGGTGATTTTTCCACAAATTGACAGGTCATCTACCTTTCCATGGTATCTTATCTATTTTTGCTAACTTTCTTCCGAGTATATCCACATCACCATCAGACCATTTTATTGGTAAACTACATGGTAATGTAAAAATTGTATTTTTTAGTGATTTGTCATAATTTGTTTGTAATCCAGAGAGGTTAGAAAATGTATCTAGATCCTCTATGAGGCAGTGGATGGATTCTAGTTGTGGATTTAAAAGAAAACATGAATCATCAGCGTACAATGACACCTTTGTTTTTAAGCCCTGGATTTCTAATCCCCTGATATTATTGTTGGATCTGATTTTAATAGCTAACATCTCGATGGCCACAATAAATAGATATGCCGATAGTGGACAACCTTGATTCACTCATCTTCACAGTTTAAAACTTTCGGAGAAATAGCCATTATTTACTATTTTACACCTAGGGTTACTATACATGGTTTTGACCCATTTTATAAGAGATTCTCCAAAATCGAAATGTTCCAGGCATTTACATATAAACATCAGTCGTACTTTATCAAATGCCTTTTCGAAGTCTGCTATGAATAGCAGGCCTGGTTTCCCAGATTTTCCATAGTGTTCTATAGTTTCCAATACTTGCCTTATATTATCTCCAATGTATCTTCCATGTAAAAAAAACCTGTCTGATTAGAATTAATAATATCAGACAATACCTTTTTAATTCTATGCACTATACATTTTGCTAGAATTTTTGAATGACAACACTGAAGTGTAAGGGGTCTCCAATTTTTTTAATGGACTGGATCTTTATATTTTCCACTTGTATCCTGTTTCAGTAATAATGAGATCAGACCTTCTTCTTGAGTGTCAGATAATCTACCATTTACATTGGAGTGGTTAAAACATGCTAATAACGGTCCTCTTAGTATATCCAAAAGGTTTTGGTATACTTCGACTGGTATGCCATCCAACCCTGGAGTTTTCCCTGACTTAAAGTCTTTAATTGCATCCAGAAGTTCCTCCTCTGTAATTTCACCTTCACATGAGTCTTTCTGTTTGGCTGTTAATTTTACATTATCAATAGAAAAGAAATCTCTACAATTAGCTTCAGTTAGAGGAGATGGAGGCGACTGAAATGAAAACATGCTTAAAGTACTTTGTTTCCTCCTTCAAGGATGTTGCTCAGTTGGTAGAGCATGGCGTTTGCAACGCCAGGGTTGTGGGTTCGAATCCCACGGGGGGCCAGTATGAAAAAATAAAAAATAATAAAAATAAAAATAATAATGTATGCACTCACTAACTGTAAGTCACTCTGGATAAGAGTGTCTGCTAATGACTAAAATGTAAATGTAAAATATCATTTGGTGAATCATGGGTTAGTCCGTCAATTGTAACCAGTTTCATTAAATTATTTTTGGTAGCATTCCTATGTTGAAGATTAAAAAAGAATTTGGTGCATTTTTCCCCATATTCCATCCAGTTTGCTTTATTTTTATAATATATTACACTTGATTTTTCTTGAATAAGTTTCTCCATTTCTTTTTGTTTTTCCTCTAATTTATTCTGAGCATCTACAGTGGGGAGAACAAGTATTTGATACACTGCCGATTTTGCAGGTTTTCCTACTTACAAAGCATGTAGAGGTCTGTAATTTTTATCATAGGTACACTTCAACTGTGAGAGACGGAATCTAAAACAAAAATCCAGAAAATCACATTGTATGATTTTTAAGTAATTAATTTGCATTTTATTTGTTTTGGTACTGTCCATATGTAGTTTGTTTTTGGTCACAGGTCCAGGAATGGCTGAAGAATTGCAACATTTACCTGGAGCTAGCACTGCAAATAGCACTGCTGGGTGATTTGAAAAGTTATAGTCAATCGATCAATAATATAATAATACTTTTAGCAAAAATATGTATCTTTAATTTACAATCTGTAGAAACTATGAGAATATAACTTTTGTGAAACATCACAGCACAGTTGAAAAATATATGGCAAATATAAATAAAAAACTGATGGTTTTAAGAGATAAATGGGAGGGGTTAAGGGTAGCTGAATGATGGGATTAAAAACAAACAAAGATAACTATTGTAAAATACATAGTGTCCGTAAAATGTATATATTATGTATAAGCTGGAAGGAGAAGCCTAAGTGGTGCTGTCCATTAATTTACTACAATTAGGGGAGGGGTGGCAGGTTAGGGGAATATATATTTATATATATGTACAGTACCAGTCAAAGGTTTGGACACACCTACTCATTCCAGGGCTTTTCTTTATTTTAACTATTTTCTACATTGTAGAATAATAGTGAAGACATCAAAACTATGAAATAACACATATGCAATCATGTAGTAAGACCCAGAGTTACCTCTGCTGAAGAGGATAAGTTCATTAGAGCTACCAGCCTCAGAAATTGCAGCCCAAATAAGTGCTTCACAGAGTTCAAGTAACAGACACATCTCAACATCAACTGTTCAGAGGAGACTGCGTGAATCAGGCCTTCATGGTCGAATTGCTGCAAAGGACATCAATATTAAGAAGAGACTTGCTTGGGCCAAGAAACACGAGCAATGTACATTATATTGGTGGAAATCTGTCGTTTGGTCTGGAGTGCAAATTGGAGATTTTGGGTTCCAACCGCTGTGTCTTTGTGAGATGCAGTGTAGATGAACGGATGATCTCCGCATGTGTAGTTCCCACCGTGAAGCATGGAGGAAGAGGTGTTATGGTGTTGGGGTGCTTTGCTGGTGACACTGTCTGTGATTTATTTAGAATTCAAGGCACACTTAACCAGCATGGCTACCACAGCATTCTGCAGTGATACGCCATTCCATCTGGTTTAGCCTTAGTGGGACAATCATTTGTTTTTCAACAGGACAATGACCCAACACACCTCCAGGCTGTGTAAGGGCTATTTGACCAAGAAGGAGAGTGATGGAGTACTGCATCAGATGACCTGGCCTCCACCATCCCCCGACCTCAACTCAATTGAGATGGTTTGGGATGAGTTGGACCGCAGAGTGAAGGAAAAACAGCAAACAAGTGCTTAGAATATGTGGGAACTCCTTCAAGATTGTTGGAAAAACATTCCAGGTGAAGCTGGTTGAGAGAATGCCAAGAGTGTGTAAAGCTGTCATCAAGGCAAAGGGTGGCTACTTTGAAGAATCTCAAATATAAAATATATTTTGATTTGTTTAACACTTTTTGGGTTACTACATGATTCCATATGTGTTATTTCATAGTTTTGATGTCTTCACTATTATTCTACAATGTAGAAAATAGTTAAAATAAAGAAAAACCCTTGAATGAGTAGGTGTGTCCAAACTTTTGACTGGTACATTATATATATATATTTACAGAAAAAATATTGGGGATTGGAAATGATGCAAACAATTACATTGATAGAAGCTACAATCTATCTGCAATATGAAAGCTGATCTAACCCCCAAAGAATAACAATAAAAATGTCAGATTTTCAAATTTTTCAAGCGAAGGTCTTTAGAGAGTATGCGAGCACAGACGTTCGCTTCGCTTAGCCGAGTTTTGTTAGGAGCAAACCAAATCTATGTACAGTATGCGGACACCTTTAGTGCCTACAAAAAGACATCATTACTATTGCTCTCTATAGGGTTCCATTTGGGGTTCAGCACAATTGCTTCCATAAACATAAGTGACAAAACGGGGACACAAAAGGTGAGGGATTTAAGTGTGCAGCCAAAGACTTGAAATATGGAAATCCATATTGGCTGTTGGTTGTTTACCTGGATGCACAGCCTCTATGTACCAGGTGAGTACTCCATACACAATGGCATCGATGATGAGCATCATCATGGACAGACCAAGGTTGAAGTCATCACCCTCTACAGGCGACTGGTTGATGGTGCGCCACTGGATACCAACTCCTGACACCTCGTACAGGGCAAAATACCTTGAGCCCAGGCCGAACGCTGTGGTCGACATCAGAGACTGGCGAGAGAGGAGCAAATGAGAATAAAGACAACAGACAACAGACAACAGACAACGTGTTAAGAGCTATTGACATGTGTGAAGATCAATGTCTTTCCAGAGCTCACTGATTCAGACCGGTCGTGTCAGAGAATATCATTGAATTTATCAATTCACAACTCTTGAAGCTTTGTTTCATCCTTCTTAGCTTTTACTCATTATGATTAAATACATTTTGATATGCCTATACACACCTGGAAACAGGTCATCTGATGCAGTGAAAAAGACAAATAACTAAATCTGGCCGTGAGCCTGGAGGGATGTTTCTCTCATTGAATTTGTCCAGACTCAGGCTAGACATGGGCACAGCGTGTGACTAACAAAAATAAGAGAACAGAGGCCAAGTCTTACAGCGATGCACTTCTCAAAGGCGGTGATCTTGTCATGGGCCACCTCCTCCCTGATGGCCACGTACATGTAGGGGACGTAGCTAAGGAAGTAGATGATCCCACCACAGGCAGACGCCAGCTTGGCTTTGGAGTATATCACTGACACCAGGAAACTGACACAAACACACGGGACACAGACAGACAAACAGGAGTAAAATACTGTAAGCATATTGAGTTTGTCCCAAATGGTAGCCTATTCCCTATATAGTGTAATACCTTTTACCAGAGCTCTATGGACCACGGTCAAAATTAGTGCACTATAAAGGGAATAGGGTGCTATTTGTAAGACAGCCTAAGCATATACAGACCATACGCGTTTAGCAAAGGAGCTGAGTCACTGTCTGTCTGATACATTAAGGAGATAGCATTTCGAAGTAACACGTTCCTCACAAAACTGAAGTCGAACGTTGACAAGTGAAACTGAGTGTAACTGCTTTTATCAAATCAGCCGCTAAATATCACGGTGACTCATAGTGATTCATTAGATCTCTAACATCATGAATGTGTGTGCAGTCACTGCTGCTCTGACATCACACACAGAGAGAGAGAGAGAGAGAGAGAGAGAGAGAGAGAGAGAGAGAGAGAGAGAGAGAGAGAGAGAGAGAGAGAGAGAGAGAGAGAGAGAGAGATGAGAGAGAGAGCAAGAGAGAGACTGGTCTACGATCAGTTTCACATTTCCCCCAATAATGGTTAGGATTTCTGGAAGGTAAGCCTAAGTCCATGGCAACTTCTATCTGGGACAAGTTAAAAGTATCTACACTACATGACCAGATGTATGTGGACACCTGCTCGTTGAACATCTAATTCCAAAATTATGGGCATTAATATGAAGTTGGTCCCCCCTTTGCTGCTATAACAGCCTCCACTCTTCTGGGAAGGCTTTCCACATTGCTTCAGGGACTTGCTTCCATTCAGCCACAAGAGCATTAGTGAGGTCTGGCACTGATGTTGGGTGATTAGGCCTGGCTCGCAGTCGGCGTTCCTATTCATCCCAAAGATGTTCAATGGGGTTGAGGTCAGAGCTCTGTGCAGGCCAGTCAAGTTCTTCCACACCGATCTCGACAAACCATTTCTGTATGGACCTCACTTTGTGCACGGGAGATTTGTCATGCTGCAACAGGAAAGGGCCTTCCCCAAACTTTTGCCACAAAGTTAGAAGCACAGAAACGTCTATAATGTCATTGTTAAGATTTCTCTTCACTGGAACTAAGGAGTCTAGCCCGAACCATGTAAAACAGCCCCAGACCATTATTCCTCCTCCACCAAACTTTACAGATGGCACTATGCATTGGGGCAGGTAGCATTCTCCTGACATCTGCCAACCACAGATTCGTCCGTCGGACTGCCAGATGGTGAAGTGTGAGTCATCACTCCAGAGAACGCGTTTCCACTGCTCCAGAGTCCAATGGCCGCAAGCTTTACACCAGTCCAACCGACGTTTCCACTTCACAATAACATCACTTACAATTGACCGGGGCGTTTCCACTTCACAATAACAGCACTTACAGTTGACCGGGGCAGCTCTAGTAGGGCAAAGAATTTGACAAACGTACTTGTTGGAAAGGCTACCAATGATGCCACCAATGTACACTATATATACAATAGTATGTGGACACGCCTTCAAATTAGTGCAGAGCGAAGTTCCAGCCGCCTGAAGAGCTATTTCAGTGAATGCATGAATGAGGCCAAACCTCAGGTTTGCCAACACTTTGTCTTTTTTTTTGTCTTCCAAAACAGGCAAAGTGGTACACTATATCTCTGTATGTTTTCTTGGAAATAGCTTGCTTGGCTCAATATGTGATATGTGATGATGCCTAATTTGAGTTTATGATAGATCATATCAGCTATTGATATTTAAAATGATTTGTTGAGAAGGGCCCCTTGACAGAGCCCCGCTCCCTCTGTGCTGAGACCCTAGCTCCGCCTATCCTACTATTTTGGGTGTGCGTCCACTCATGATGTTTACTAGACTAACATCAGAGCGGTAGCAGTGTCATCACTGAGAGCATCCTGTCGGGCTGTATCACCGCCTGGTACGGCAACTGCACCGCCCGGTACAGCAACAACACCGCCCGCAACCGCAGGGCTCTCCAGAGGGTGGTGAAGTCTGCCCAACGCATCACCGGCGGCAAACTACCAGCCCTCCAGGACACCTACAGCACCCGATGTCAAAGGAAGGCCAAAAAGATCATCAAGGACATCAACCACCCGAGCCACGGCCTGTTCAACCCGCTATCATCCAGAAGGCGAGGTCAGTAGAGGTGCATCAAAGCAGGGACCGAGAGACTGAAAAACAGCTTCTATCTCAAGGCCATCAGACTGTTAAATAGCCATCACTAGCCGGCTTCCACCCAGTTACACAACCCTGCTGCCCTATATACATAGACTTGGAATCACTGGCCACTTTAATAATGGAACACTAGTCACTTTAGTAATGTTTACATACTGCTTTACTCATTTCATATGTATATACTGTATTATATTCTACTGTATTTTAGTCAATGCCATTCCGACATTGCTTGTCCTAATATTTATATATTTCTTAATTCCATTCTTTTACTTTTAGATTTGTGTGTATTGTTGTGAATCGTTAGATACTACTGCACTGTTGGAGCTAGAAACACAAGCATTTCGCTACACCCACAATAACATCTGCTAAATATGTGCATGTGACCAATACAATACAATTTGGTTTGATTTGATTTGATTACCAGAACATGATGGTTGCAATGGCGTAGATGGAGAGGAAGAGCCAGATTATGAAGATGTCGCTGTGGAGGAGCACTCTGCCATACTTCAAGATGGCCGTCAGGGCGGTCACGGAGATGGACAGCTGGACGAAGCCAGTGATGAACCAGGCCACCCAGTGGACCGCGTTGTTCAGTCCCATCATCTTCATCACCTGCAGGCAGTACACAGGTTACCGGAAGAGGTGAATCCTCTTTTTTAGTCTTACATGCACTGATATGAATGAGGATGGGATTTAAAACCCTCCACATATCAAACAAAATAATACAATCATGTAAATATTCTAAATATTCTGAAAAACATATCATACAAATTTCAAGTTTGAGATTTCTATTTGATTGAAATCAGTATTTTTCCGACAGGGGGCAGAAGAGAGGTAGTAAATATGAGTGACATCATCCTGCTACAGGGTGCCAAAAGACATGGCAGAGAGAAGATGGCATTAATGATGTCACAGACAGACACAGGACAGGACTCTGAGATCCTAGTGTAGACAGCAGTGGGGGTTGGTGAAGGGATAATGGATCATTATATTGTTTGGAATGGAGTAAATGGAATGGTATTAAACATGCGTGTTGGATGTGTTTGATACCGTGCAATTAATTCCATTCCAGACATTTTCATGAGCCCGTCCTCTAATTTAAAGTGCCAACAGCCACCACAGGTAGACAGGTAAGCAGCTGCAGTCTCACCTCTTTGAGCCGGTGCTCCTTCTCAGCCACGATGTGTTGGATCATCATGGCTACAGAGTACACCCAGGAGATCACCATGCACAGAGGCATCATGTGCTCAATCACAAACAGGAAGCTGTGGACCCATGACAGGAAGTTTATTAATGACAAATCATAGGTTAAAGCAGGGAGAGAAAATACTACCAAAGGAAGGAAAACATAGGGGAGAGTGGGGTAAGTTGAGAGAGGGGTAAGTTGAGCCAATGGGTCAGTTGCGCCACCCCTTGTTTCTAAGAAACCATACACAAAATGTATAATTTGACCAAATATTTAGGAAGAGGTCATCATTTCATGGAGTCTGCAAAGGAAGAAACCATATGGAAAAAGTGGTAAGCAAGTTACAGTGGCTTGCAAAAGTATTCACCCCCCTTGGCATTTTTCCTATTTTGTTGCCTTACAACTTGGAATTAAAATTGGATTTTTGTGGGGTTTGTAACATTTGATTTACACAACATGCCTACCACTTTGAAGATGCAAAATATTTTTTATTGTGAAACAAACAAGAAATAAGACAGAAAAACAGAAAACTTGAGCATGCATAATTATTCACTCCCCCAAAGTCAATACTTTGTAGAGCCACCTTTTGCAGCAATTACAGCTGCAAGTCTCTTGGGGTATGTCTCTATAAGCTTGGCACATATAGCCACTGGGATTTTTTGCCCATTCTTCAAGGAAAGACTGCTCCAGCTCCTTCAAGTTGGATGGGTTCTGCTGGTGTACAGCAATCTTTAAGTCATACCACAGATTCTCAATTGGATTGAGGTCTGGGCTTTGACTAGGCCATTCCAAGACATTTAAATGTTTCCCCTTAAACCACTCGAGTGATGCTTTAGCAGTATGCTTAGGGTCATTGTCCTGCTTGAAGGTGAACCTCTGTCCTAGTCTCAAATCTCTGGAAGACTGAAACAGGTTTCCCTCAATAATTTCCCTGTATTTAGTGTCATCTGAACAGAGTACCTTCTTCCATATGTTTGGGGAGTCTCCCACATGTCTTTTGGCGAACATCAAACGTGTTGGGTTATTTCTTTCTTTAAGCAATGGCTTATTTCTGGCAACTCTTCCGTAAAGCCCAGCTCTGTGGAGTGTACGGCTTAAAGTAGTCCTATGGACAGATATTCCAATCTCCACTGTGGAACTTTGCAGGTCCTTCAGGGTCTCTTTGTTGCCTTTGTTTGGTCTCTTTGTTGCCTCTCTGATTAACGCCCTCCTTGCCTGGTCCGTGAGTTTTGGTGGGCGGCCCTCGCTTGGCAGGTTTGTTGTGGTGCCATATTCTTTCCATTTTTTTATAATGGATTTAATGGTGCTCCGTGGGATGTTCAACGTTTCAGATATTATTTTATAACCCAACCCTGATCTATACTTCTCCACAACTTTGTCCCTGACCTGTTTGGAGAGCTCATTGGTCTTCATGGTGCCGCTTGCTTGGTGGTGCCCCTTGCTTAGTGGTGTTGCAGACTCTGGGGCCTTTCAGAACATGTGTATACATACTGAGATCATGTGACACATAGATTGCACATAGGTGGACTATATTTAACTAATTATATATTTTACTAATTCTAAAGGTAATTGGTTGCACCATATCTTATTTAGGGTCTTCATAGCAAAGGGGGTGAATACATATGCACGCACCACTATTCCGTTATTTATTTTGTAGAATTTTTTGAAACAAGTTCTTTTTTCATTTCACTTCACCAATTTGGACTATTTTGTGAATGTCCATTACATGAAATCCAAATAAAAATCCACTTAAATTACAGGTTGTAATCCAAGGCACTGTAGGTCCCATACATTTTTTGTGCTAGAGGTTTCATGATGCTTGTATCTAAATCAAAGTATATCATTTTAAGATTGTTCGATACATCAGTTGGGGTCTCTATAAGCTTCAATATGAGGTCCTAAACCTAGCATGAAAGTGCATCCTTGAAGCTGTGTGGGCTAATATACACTGTAAAAAAAAATCCACAAATCTAAATGTTTAAACTAATTATTATTAAGTAACTGGTTCCACAGCCTTTTTTATATTTTACTCAACTTTTCGGTCCAAGTGTTACCCAGACTTAGCTCCAACTTGAGAAAACTTCGGCAAAAATTCAGTAAATCTAAAATGATGTGTTTGCTCAACTTTCTCATTTGTTTATTCAACTATAACTTATTATTTGGCATCTTAACTAAGAGAAGACTGTGCAACTGGTTACACAAACAGTGCTTTTAACATACTATGTTTTCAACCTACATATTTGACACATATGATTACATTGTGCATGTTTATTTATAAAGTAATTATTCTTCAACGCGTCCTTACCTAGGATTTGAACTCACATCCTCTTGGTTCATGGCATTCTGATCTTGCTGCTACGCCACCATGGCTGTGTAAATTATCAATGAATCTGACTATTCTTTCATCATTCATTTGATTCACTTATTTAACTACACAATGCTAGGTTTTTCTGAATAGTTGTCTAATGTTGGTGGGGTATATTCATTACTCTGTTTTAATGTTACTTCTTAATCACTATGATAAATAAAATAAAAGTAGTTTTTCTTGATTGTACTTTTAACAATGCTGATATTTACTTAGAAGTTCAAAGTGTAGCAATACAGGTCAAATCAGTTATTGACACAGACATTGTAGCGTAGTAGGATGATTCGAATGCTTTGCACAAAGAGGTTGTGAGTTCAAATCTCAGGGGAGGAAACATGAATTACTGTATAAAATAAATGAACACGCACAATGTGTGTCATATACAGTGGGGGAAAAAAGCATTTAGTCAGCCACCAATTGTGCAAGTTCTCCTACTTAAAAAGATGAGAGAGGCCTGTAATTTTCATCATAGGTACACGTCAACTATGACAGACAACATGAGCATTTTTTTCTCTCCAGAAAATCACATTGTAGGATTTTTAATGAATTTATTTGCAAATTATGGTGGAAAATAAGTATTTGGTCAATAACAAAAGTTTCTCAATACTTTGTTATATACCCTTTGTTGGCAATGACACAGGTCAAACGTTTTCTGTAAGTCTTCACAAGGTTTTCACACACTGTTGCTGGTATTTTGGCCCATTCCTCCATGCAGATCTCCTCTAGAGCAGTGATGTTTTGGGGCTGTCGCTGGGCAACACGGACTTTCAACTGCCTCCAAAGATTTTCTATGGGGTTGAGATCTGGAGACTGGCTAGGCCACTCCAGGACCTTGAAATGCTTCTTACGAAGCCACTCCTTCGTTGCCCGGGCGGTGTGTTTGGGAACATTGTCATGCTGAAAGACCCAGCCACGTTTCATCTTCAATGCCCTTGCTGATGGAAGGAGGTTTTCACTCAAAATCTCACGATACATGGCCCCATTCATTCTTTCCTTTACACAGATCAGTCGTCCTGGTCCCTTTGCAGAAAAACAGCCCCAAAGCATGATGCTTCCACCCCCAACTCAGCATTCTTTGTCCTCCAAACACGACGAGTTGAGTTTTTACCAAAAAGTTCTATTTTGGTTTCATCTGACCATATGACATTCTCCCAATCCTCTTCTGGATCATCCAAATGCACTCTAGCAAACTTCAGACGGGCCTGGACATGTACTGGCTTAAGCAGGGGGACACGTCTGGCACTGCAGGATTTGAGTCCCGGGCGGCGTAGTGTGTTACTGATGGTAGGCTTTGTTACTTTGGTCCCAGTTCTCTGCAGGTCATTCACTACGTCAGGGCATTATCACTGGGATATGAGTTAACAAGGCCTGGCCTATGTTAAAAGTGTAAAGTAAAAAGTACAAAGTGTTTGTTAGGTGTTCAGCCTGTGTTAAAAGATGCTTAAAATTATTAAGAGACAAAAAGTGATTGTGATTGTGTTGAATTGTGTTTTGGAGATAAAGATAGGCAGGTTTTAAAAAGGTAGTGATAATATTTAATTCAGTACAAAAATGTGTAGGCGGCTTAACTTACCCTGTCCCGCGCTCAACATACCCCATACACAGGGTAAGTTGTGTCAAGAGATCCCTTTTGGACAAGCTATATTTTCAAAACTGCAATGTTTACATGAATTCTGATTATGTCCAGGGATACACAACATCCTGAAATATATGCAGATATCTTTGTTAGAAAGAATACTACACTACCAGCCAAAGTTTGGACGCACCTACTCATTCAAGGGTTTTTCTTTATTTTTACTATTTTCTACATTGTAGAACAATAGCGAAGACATCAAAACTTTTAAATAACACATATGGAATCATGTAATAAACAAAAAAGTGTTAAACAAATCAAAATATATTTTATATTTGAAATTCTTCAAATAGCCACCCTTTGCCTTGATGACAGCTTTGCACACTCTTGACATTCTCTCAACCAGCTTCACCTGGAATGCTTTTCCAACAGTCTTGCAGGAGTTCCCACATATGCTGAGCACTTGTTGGCTGCTTTTCCTTCACTCTGCCGTCCGACTCATCCCAAACCATCTCAATTGGGTTGAGGTCAGAGGATTGTGGAGGCCAGGTCATCTGATGCAGCACTCCATCACTTTGCTTCATGGTCAAATAGCCCTTACACAGCCTGGAGGTGTGTTGGGTCATTGTCCTGTTGAAAAACAAATGATAGTCTCACTAAGCCCAAACCAGATGGGATGGCATATCACTGTAGAATGCTGTGGCAGCCATTCTGGTTAAGTGTGCCTTGAATTCTAAATAAATCACAGACAGTGTCACCAGCAAAGCACCCCCACACCATAACACCTCCTCCTCCATGCTTTACGGTGGGAAATACACATGCAGAGATCATCCGTTCACCCACACTGCGTCTCACAAAGACACGGTGGTTGGAATCAAAAATCTCCAATTTGGACTCCAGACCAAAGGACACATTTCCACCGGTTTAATGTCCATTGCTCGTGTTTCATGGACCAATCAGGTCTCTTCTTATTATTGGTGTCCTTTAGTAGTGGTTTATTTGCAGCAATTCGACCATGAAGGCCTGATTCACACAGTCGCCTCTGAACAGTTGATGTTGAGATGTGTCTGTTACTTCAACTCTGTGAAGCATTTATTTGGGCTGCAATTTCTGAGGCTGGTAACTCTAATTAACTTATCTTCTGCAGAATAGGTAACTCTGGGTCTTCCATTTCTGTGGCGGTCCTCATGAGAGCCAGTTTCATCATAGCGCTTGATGGTTTTTGCGATTTCACTTGAAGAAACTTTCAAAGTTCTTGAAATGTTCCGTATTGACTGAACTTCATGTCTTAAAGCAATGATGGACTGTTGTTTCTCTTTGCTTATTTGAGCTGCTCTTGCCATAATATGGACTTAGTCTTTTACCAAATAGCGCTATCTTCTGTATACCCCCCCACCCCCACACCTTGTCACAACACAACTGATTGTCTCAAACGCATTAAGAAGGAAAGAAATTCCACAAATTAACTTTGAAGAAGGCACACCTGTTAATTGAAATACATTCCAGGTGACTACCTCATTAAGCTGGTTGAGAGAATGCCAAGAGTGTGCAAAGCTGTCATCAAGGCAAAGGGTGGCTATTTGAAGAATCTCAAATATAAAATATATTTTTATTTGTTTAACTACATGATTCCATAGGTGTTATTTCATAGTTACAATGTAGAAAATAGTACAAATAAAGAAAAACCATGGAATGAGTAGGTGTGTCCAAACTTTTGACTGATACTCTATATTTCCCTTGACTGAGTGATGCTGAATGTAAAAAAAAAAAACTCTCATCTTACCCCACTCTCCCCTAACCCATGCATAATTTGAATGTTATTTATAACAGTGAGAGTTATGCACATGCATCTTAAATTAGGATTTGGACATAAATGAGAGTCAGGATCTGAGAGAGATAGAGAGCAAATTAGAGTAAAGAATAGATACAGTAACATGTCTTACTCATCTCTAGTGTAGCTACCAAAGGAAGACGTGTGACATATTTCATTATTTACCTATCTATCTAATATACAGGGACAAAGCAAAGTCATCATCTCAGAATAACATAGAAATAGAAGTGACAGAATGAACAGAACGTGAGAGAGAAGAGAGGAGAGGTGTATAGAGCGAGTTCCACGTCTTACTCGTCTCTGGTGTAGCAGGGGTAGGGGAACATCTGAACATAGTTCCCAGGCTCCACCACGTCATGGCCCACAAACGTGTTAATGATGGCTCTCTCCATCATGTCTGAGGAAACACAGGCAGGCAGACAGGAAGACACACGCGCACGTACACGCATCAAGACGCAGCAGAGATGACAGGGCCACTCTTAGTGAATAAGCCTTTCCATCAAGTTCTATCCTAAACACACTACCCGATGCAATGTGGCTATCAGTGTGGTTAACAATGCAAAGGTAAAATCAATCTGTTCTGGATTAAATCAACTGTATTGTCTTGGTGAGCCCAGGATGTCTCTATATACGCTCAACAAACTGCCATGTCAGTTCCCATGCATTATCTGTATTAACTTTATGTGTCAAATAAGCAGCTTGTCTCTTACTCTCCTGCTTCTTAAATAAAAGATGAGTGTCGGAGAGAAAGTGCTGGATCTGCAGTTTGGCGTTGCCCACCTCAGGATTGCCAGGATAAGCAGTTTACCACAATAAATCATTTTCTTAATAAAACACCACAAAACAATACTTTTGACAAAACAATTGTGTCCTCAGTGAACCCGCTTTTGGCAGTTGATGTATAGTCTATAGTCGATGTATATTCTGTTTATAGTTTCACCTGCAGATAACGCTGAAACAACAAGTACAGCTTTGAGTTTTGAGATGTCTTCTTTACTACCAAGCAACAAAACAACAATGACACAACAACGCACACACATCAACCCAAACAACGATATGAAACTCATCAACACGTTACACACACTACGATGCACAGACAACAGTTTGAACAATCAAATAAATTCTGTTCTATAAAACACAACATAGTTTTTTGTACAATTACATTTGATACCTCAGGAACTGCCAGTCGTTTTGCATTGTCTATTCTTTGTAGTCTGTATTTGTAATTATAGTTGTTCTATCCTGCTAAAGTGAAGAGACGGTAAGTGGATAAGTTGGCTAGTTTGCGTTACACGATCAAGTTGCCAGATGGCTTCCAACATTGCTAAAACCACAACAACGTTTGCAAACAATGTGCTCAGACTTTTGCAGTATGTAAGTTAGCAAAGTGCTATATTTGTAGATTCTATTGAGTATCCAGAGCTATGAGTTTGCTATGTTCTTTTACTGACTAGATGCTAAGTTATAAGCAAATGCCATAGAATGGCTAGCATGGATAGAGTTGGCTAGAGTTGGCTAAAACTTGGCTAGAGTTGGCTAGAGTGGAATTAGTTGATAGAGTTGGCTAAGTAGTTGGCTAAGTTGGCTAGAATTGGATAAGCATGTGTTGGCTAGATTGGATAGAGTTTGGCTAGGTTGGCAAAGTTGGATAGATTGTCTAGATTTGCTAGAGTGTGCTAAGTTGGCTAGATGGATAGATTGCTAGGTTGGCTAGGTTGGCTAGAGTTGGCTAGAGTTGGCTAGAGTTGGCTAGAGTTGGCTAGAGTTGGCTAGTAGTTGGCTAGAGTTGGCTAGAGTTGGCTAGAGATTGGCATAGAGTTGGCTAGAGTTGGATAGAGTTGGTAGGTTGGCTAGAGTTGGCTAGAGTTGAGTTGGCTAGAGTGCTAGATTGCTAGGTTGGCTAAATTGGCTAGAGTTGGCTTGAGAAAGTTGGCTAGAGTTGGCTAGAGTTGGTAATGAGTTGGATAGAGTGTTGGCTAAAGTTGGCTAGAGTTGGCTAGAGTTGGCTAGAATTGGATAGAGTTGGCTAGAGTTGGCTAGAGTTGGCTAATTGGCTAGAGTTGGTAGAATTGGAATTGGCTAGTTGGCTAGAGTTGATGAGTTGGCAAAAGTTGGATAGAGTTGGCTAGTGTTGGCTAGAGTTGGCTGAGATGATTGGCTAAGTTGGCTAGTTGCTAGTTGGCTAGAGTTGGCTAGAGTTGGATGAGTGGATAGAGTTGGCTAAGTTGGCTAATGGCTAGAGTTGGCTAGAATTGGATAGAGTTGGCTAGAGTTGGATTAGAGTTGGCTAGTTGTAGAGTTGTAGTTGCTAGAGTTGGCTAGTTGGCTAGAATTGGTCTGGTTGCTAGTTGGCTAGAGTTGGCTAGAGTTGGATAGAGTTGGATAGAGTTGGCTAAAGTGCTAGTTGGTAGAGTTGGCTAATGGTAGAGTTGGCTAGAGTTGGCTAGAGTTGGCATTATAGAATTGGCTAGAGTTGGCTAGAGTTGGCAAGTTGGATAGAGTTGCTAGAGTTTGGCTTGTAGAGTTTGGCTAGAGTTGGCTAGAGATGTGGTTGTTAAATTGGCTAGAGTTGGCTAGAGTTGGCTAGAGTTGGCTAGGTTGCTAGAGTTGGCTAGGTTGGCTAGGTTGGCTAATTGGCTAGAGTTGGATAGAGTTGGCTAGAGTTGGTAGAGTTGGCTAGAGTGTGTCTAATGCTAGGTTGTAGATTGGCATAAAGTTGTAGTTGGCTAGAGTTGGCTAGTGTTGGCTAAAATTGGCTAGAGTTGGCTAGATTGGATAGAGTTGGCTAGAGTTGGATAGAGTTGGCTAGAGTTGGATAGAGTTGGATATAGAGTTGGCTAGAGTTGGCTAGAGTTGGCTAGAGTTGGCTAGAGTTGGCTAGAGTTGGATAGAGTTGGCTAGAGTTGCGAAATTGGCTGGAGTTGGACTAGAGTTGGCTAGAGTTGGCTAGAGTTGGATAGAGTTGGATAGAGTTGGCTAGAGTTGGCTAGAGTTGGATAGAGTTGGCTAGAATTGGCTAGAGTTGGCTAGAGTTGGCTAGAGTTGGCTAGAGTTGGGTAGAGTTGGATAGAGTTGGCTAGAGTTGGCTAGAGTTGATAGAGTTGGCTAAATTGGATAGAGTTGTGCTAGAGTTGTCTAGAGTTGGCCAAAGTTGGATAGAATTGTCTTGTGTTGTCTAGAGTTGGCAAAAGTTGGATAGAATTGTCTAGTGTTGTCTAGTGTTAGCTAGGTTGGCTAGAGTTGGCTAGAGATGGATAGAGTTGTCTAAAGTTGGCTAGAGTTGGCTAGAGTTGGCTAGAGTTGGATAGCGTTGGCTAGAGTTGGCTAGAGTTGGCTAGTGTTGGCTAGAATTGGCTAGAGTTGGCTAGAGTTGGCTAGAGTTGGCTAGAGTTGGCTAGAGTTGGCTAGTGTTGGCTAGAATTGGCTAGAGTTGGCTAGAATTGGCTAGAGTTGGCTGGAGTTGGCTAGAGTTGGCTAGAGTTGGCTAGTGTTGGTTAAATTGGCTAGAGTTGGCTAGAATTGGATAGAGTTGGCTAGAGTTGGCTAGAGTTGGATATAAAGTTGGCTAGAGTTGGCTAGAGTTGGCTAGAGTTGGATAGAGTTGGATAGAGTTGGCTAGAGTTGAATATAGTTGGATAGAGTTGGATAGAGTTGGCTAGTGTTGGTTAGAGTTGTCTAGAGTTGGCTAGAGTTGGTTAGAGTTGGATAGAGTTGGCTAGAATTGGCTGGAGTTGGATAGAGTTGGATAGAATTGGATAGAGTTGGAAAGATTTGGCTAGAATTGGCTGGAGTTCGATACAATTGTTTAGTGTTGCCTAGAGTTGGCTAAATTTGTCTAAAGCAGAAACATCCTGGCAACATTTCAGTCTACATTTACCCTTCAGTAGTCAAGATGGAGGATTCTGGTCACGTACCCTGGATCCACACAAAGCCGTAGAGAAAGTAGAACTTTCCCCCTGTATTTGGCCCCGGGCGCCAGTAGGCCCGGCGGATCTCGTTGGTTTTCTCTGTGAAGCTGGAGTTCTGTCTGATCTTATAGAGGACATGAGGAGGCAGGGAGCCATCTCTGTTGGTCTGGAATATCACACCTGGAAGCGAGTTACAGTACCAGTCAAATGTTTGGACACACCTACTCATTTAAGGGTTTTTCTTTATTTTTACTATGTTCTACATTGTAGAATAGCAGTGAAGACATCAAAACTATGAAATAACACATATGAAATCATGTAGTAACCAAAATAGTGCTAAACAAATCAAAATATATTTTACATTTGAGATTCTTCAAATAGCCACCCTTTGCCATGATGACAGCTTTGTGCACTCTTGGCATTCTCTCAACCAGCTTCACCTGGAATGATTGTCCAACAGTCTTGAAGGAGTTCACACATATGCTGAGCACTTGTTGGCTGCTTTTCCTTCACTCTGCCGTCCGACTCATCTCAAAACATCTCAATTGGGTTGAGGTCGGGGGATTGTGGATGATGCAGCACTCCATCACTCTCCTTCTTGGTCAAATAGCCCTTACACAGCCTGGAGGTGTGTTGGGTCAATGTCCTGTTGAAAAACAAATGATAGTCCCACTAAGCCCAAACCAGATGGGATGGTGTATCCCTGCAGAATGCTGTGGTAGCCATGCTGGTTATATGTGCCTTGAATTCTAAATAAATCACAGACAGTGTCACCAGCAAAGCACCCCCACACCATCACACCTCCTCCTCCATGCTTTACGGTGGGAACTACACATGTGGAGATCATCCGTTCACCCACACCTAATGTCCATTTCTCTTGTTGCTTGGCCCAAGCAGGTCTCTTCTTCTTATTGGTGTCCTTTAGTAATGGTTTCTTTGCAGCAATTCGACCATGAAGGCCTGATTTACCCCTCTGAACAGTTGATGTTGAGACGTGTCTGTGACTTGAACTCTGTGAAGCATTTATTTGGGCTGCAATTTCTGAGGCTGGTAACTCTAATGAACTTATCCCCTGCAGCAGAGGTAACTCTGGGTCTTCCATTCCTGTGGCGGACCTCATGAGAGCCAGTTTCATCATAGCGCTTGATGGTTTTTGCGACTGCACTTGAAGAAACGTTCAAAGTTCTTGAAATGTTCCGTATTGACTGACCTTCATGTCTTAAAGTAATGATGGACTGTCGTTTCTCTTCTCGCTTATTTGAGCTGTTCTTGCCATAATATGGACTTGGTCTTTTACCAGATACGGCTATCTTCTGTATAACCCCCTACCTTGTCTCAACACAACTGATTGGCTCAAACGCGTTAAGAAGGAAAGAAATTCCACAAATTAACTTTTAAGAAGGCACACCTGTTAATTGAAATGCATTCCAGGTGAGTTCCTCATGAAGCTGGTTGAGAGAATGCCAAGAGTGTGCAAAGATTTCATCAAGGCAAAGGGTGGCTATTTGAAGAATCTCAGATATAAAATATACTTTGATTTGTTTAACACTTTTTTGGTTACTACATGATTCCATATGTGTTATTTCATTGTTTTGATGTCTTCACTATTATTGTACAATGTAAAAAAAATTAAAAATAAAGAAAAACCCTTGAATGAGTAGGTGTGTCCAAACTTTTGACTGGTAGTGTATATATATCTACACTATAGCTTTGACATTACTTCCTCATAAAGTGACATTTATTTTCCGACTGGAGGCTATCTGCATGCCACAGCTGCTGCCCTTTCAGTAATACCCATCTGACCCCTGCGCCTGGCCATTATCTATGATCTGTTTTTACTGTTAAGCCAGAGTGCCAAAGACACATTTCCATTTTGTGAAAATGTAATGGACAATTACGTTTTCATATCTTATGATGAAATAGAGTAGTCTCTCCTATTGAGTAGTTACTGTACTGTACTCACTGGCAAACACTGAGATGTTATCATGGTAGGCTTGGTTCAGAGTATAGTTGACGATGCTGTCTTCATCAGGGAAACCCTTGAAGATATCCACGCTGACCTGGAACAGGAAGATGAAAAATACAAAAAAATTGGATTGATCTATTTTCCCTGCAGTCAACGGAAAGTTAATCTCCTGCCTTGATCGCTTCTGAAAGACATACAAACACACACAGGTTGGAGCCAAGAGCACAGGAACCATCTATATCTGCAACACTGGTAACAATAGTCCCTGTCCTATGGGCTATGGTTAAAAGTAGTGCACTATGTAGAGAATAGGGTGGCATTTGGGACGAATCTTGGGGACTTTAATGCAGGGAAACTTAAATCCGTTCTACCTAATTTCTACCAGCATGTTAAATGTGCAACCAGAGGAAAAAAAACTCTAGACCACCTTTACTCCACACACAGAGACGCATACAAAGCTCTCCCTCGCCCTCCATTTGGCAAATCTGACCATAACTCTATCCTCCTGATTCCTGCTTATAAGCAAAAACTAAAGCAGGAAGCACCAGTGACTCGGTTAATAAAAAAGTGGTCAGATGACGCAGATGCTAAGCTACAGGACTGTTTTGCTAGCACAGACTGGAACATGTTCCGGGATTCTTCAGACAGCATTGAGGAGTACACCACATCAGTCACTGGCTTCATCAATAAGTGCATCGATGATGTCGTCCCCACAGTGACCGTACGTACATACCCCAACCAGAAGCCATGGATTACAGGAAACATCCGCACTGAGCTAAAGGGTAGAGCTGCCGCTTTCAAGGAACGGGACTCTAACCCGGACGCTTATAAGAAATCCCGCTATGCCCTCCGACGAACCATCAAATAGGCAAAGAGTCAATACAGGACTAAGATTGAATCGTACTACACTGGCTCTGATGCTCGTCGTCGGATGTGGCAGGGCTTGAAAACTATTACAGACTACAAAGGGAAGCACAGCCGCGAGCTGCCCAGTGACACAAGCCTACCAGACGAGCTAAACCACTTCTATGCTCGCTTCGAGGCAAGCAACACTGAAGCATGCATGAGAGCACCAGCTGTTCCGGATGACTATGTGATCACGCTCTCCGTAGCCGATGTGAGTAAGACTTTTAAGCAGGTCAACATTCACAAGGCCGCAGGGCCAGACGGATTACCAGGACGTGTACTCCGAGCATGTGCTGACCAACTGGCAAGTGTCTTCACTGACATTTTCAACATGTCCCTGACTGAGTCTGTAATACCAACATGTTTCAAGCAGACCACCATAGTCCCCGTGCCCAAGGACTCTAAGATAACCTGCCTAAATGACTACCGACCCGTAGCACTGACGTCTGTAGCCATGAAGTGCTTTGAAAGGCTGGTCATGGCTCACATCAACAGCATTATCCCAGAAACCCTAGACCCACTCCAATTTGCATACCGCCCCAACAGATCCACAGATGATGCAATCTCTATTGCACTCCACACTGCCCTTTCCCACCTGGACAAGAGGAACACCTACGTGAGAATGCTATTCATTGACTACAGCTCAGCATTCAACACCATAGTGCCCTCTAAGCTCATCACTAAGCTAAGGACCCTGGGACTAAACACCTCCCTCTGCAACTGGATCCTGGACTTCCTGACGGGCCGCCCCCAGGTGGTAAGGGTAGGTAACAACACATCTGCCACACTGATCCTCAACACGGGGGCCCCTCAGGGGTGCGTGCTCAGTCCCCTCCTGTACTCTCTGTTCACCCATGACTGCATGGCCAGGCACGACTCCAACACCATCATTAAGTTTGCCGACGACACAACAGTGGTAGGCCTGATCACCGACAACGATGAGACAGCCTATAGGGAGGAGGTCAGAGACCTGGCCGTGTGGTGCCAGGACAACAACCTCTCCCTCAACGTGACCAAGACAAAGGAGATGATTGTGGACTACAGGAAAAAAAAGAGGACTGAGCACGCCCCCATTCTCATCGACGGGGCTGTAGTGGAACAGGTTGAGAGCTTCAAGTTCCTTGGTGTCCACATCACCAACAAACTATCATGGTCCAAACACACCAAGACAGTCGTGAAGAGGGCACGACAAAGCCTATTCCACAGGAGACTGAAAAGATTTGGCATGGGTCCTCAGATCCTCAAAAAATTCTACAGCTGCACCATCGAGAGCATCCTGACTGGTTGCATCACCGCCTGGTATGGCAACTGCTTGGCCTCCGACCGCAAGGTACTACAGAGGGTAGTGCTTACGGCCCAGTACATCACTGGGGCCAAGCTTCCTGCCATCCAGGACCTCTATACCAGGCGGTGTCAGAGGAAGGCCCTCAAAATTGTCAAAGACTCCAGCCACCCTAGTCATAGACTGTTCTCTCTGCTACCGCACGGCAAGCGGTACCGGAGTGCCAAGTCTAGGTCCAAAAGACTTCTCAACAGCTTCTACCCCCAAGCCATAAGACTCCTGAACAGCTAATCATGGCTACCTGGACTATTTGCACTGCCCCCCCACCCCATCCTTTTTACGCTGCTGCTACTCTGTTAATTATTTATGCATAGTTACTTTAACTCTACCCACATGTACATATTACCTCAACTACCTCAACTAGCCGGTGCCCCCGCACATTGACTCTGCAACGGTACCCCCCTGTATATATAGCCTCCCTACTGTTATTTTATTTTACTTCTGCTCTTTTTTTTCTCAACACTTTTTTTGTTGTTGTTTTATTTTTACTTTTTTTAAAATAAATAAATGCACTGTTGGTTAAGGGCTGTAAGTAAGCATTTCACTGTAATGTCTGCACCTGTTGTACCACATGCACCTGTTGTATTCGGCGCATGTGACCAATAACATTTGATTTGATTTGATTTTAGCTTTGCATGCTGTGTGGTACTGATTCTTAATGCTTATATTACTGTACGCCCACTGTCTGTGGGACTGGAGCAATGTAATGAAGTACCATCGCTCTTCCTGTATCAGTCTGAATCAGACCACCCATGTCAACAGTACATCCTGCCTGCACACTGGTATTACATACAGGCTGTGTCTGAAATGCCATCCTATTTGCTTATATACTGTACTGCAGTGCACTACTTTAGGCCAGATCCCTCTTGGCTCTGACCAAAAGTAGCGCACTTGATAGTGAATAGGGTGCCATTTGGGACACAACCAACGGCTCGTCTCATGGATACTGACCTTGGACATGAAGTGTGTCCAGCCGCAGGCTGCGTTGTCGATGGTGTCCAGCTGCTCCAGCAGGGTGGAGGTGTTGGACAGGGTGTAGTTGCCCTCCAGTAGCCCATGCAGCAGGTCACTGTCCGTCCCGTTCAGCAGCTCTGGGTGACCACGCAGGTCAGAGGTCAACTATTAAGAGGAGGATATAACAAGTTGTGTATGTGTGTATGTGTTTATGTTCCAGTATGTGTACGTATGGGCTTATCAGGCAAGATATGGACTGTATAAATGTACTGTGTGGGGGACAAAAAATACTTTGTATTATGTGTATGCGTTATCTTATTAAGTTAGGTGAATACTGTGTGTTACCTGCTGTAGCCAGGCCAGGTGGTGGTGCAGCTTGCCCTCCTCCAGGTAGGTCCTGAGCTGGGCAGAGATGTTGAGCCACACCCGGGCGTAGTGAGTCACGTTCCCCACAAATGCAAACGTCTCATTGGCCTACACAGACAGCAAGCAAAGCACGTCACCATCAACGCAGAATCTATACCAGTCCTAGCTCTGGTCCAGGGTTTTACGTGCGGCTTGCTGGCACTAGGCCTTCTCAGCTAACACCCTGGACCAGAGCTATCCCAGTCCCATTACTGTATCCAGTTGCTCTATCCACATCCTTTCAACCATTCTCTCCACTCTCTACCTCTCTCCCTCCATCTCTATAGTTTTAATCATTTCTCAACCTCCCTCCTCCAGTCCACTTGCTAAGATAAGAAATCAACCGTCTGCCAATAACAAGCCTGTGGTAACTAGTGGGATGTACAGAGAAACAGAATCGATGGCCATTTCTGCATATATTGTGGTATAGTGAGACCTCCGGGCACTGAGGAGGAGCATGATTAATTTAGCAGCTCATTGACTTCCTACAAATCGTGCTCTAAACCAATATACAGAACATGCTTCATGATTAATGTGTAAGGCTGGGAAACAAATGACCGTGGGATTCCTACTGAATTCCCAACATGTTCTCAATACGCTGAGAGTCTAAAAGTGTCTGATAAATGACTAAAGACCACATTCCCTATTCTTCTTAATATGAGTCTCAATCACAGGGGTTTTGTGGCACCTTAATTGGGGAAGACGAGCTAGTGGTAATGGCTGGAGCGGAATTAGTGGAATGGTATCAAATACATCAAACACATTGGTTTCCAGGTGTTTGATACCATTCCATTTGCTCCGTTCCGGACATTATTATGAGCCGTCCTACCCTCAGCAGCCTCCACTGGTCTCAATATCCCTGACAGTGGCTATATTCAGCAATATATATGAAACAACCAATGGAGCACTGTCCTCAGTTTAGTATTGGTATTAGGAAATAGATCCAGATAATGCTGAGATATTTAATTTTATGGATTTACTATGGGCGTTGGCTTGATTTTTTTATTTTTTTATTTCACCTTTATTTAACCAGGTAAACCAGTTGAGAACAAGTTCTCATTTACAACTGCGACCTGGCCAAGATAAAGCAAAGCAGTGCGATAAAAACAACAACACAGAGTTACATATGGGGTAAAACAAAACAAAGTCAAAAATACAACAGAAATACATATAATATACAGTGTGTGCAAATTTAGCAAGTTATGGAGGTAAGGCAATAAAATAGGCTATAGTGCAAAATAATTAATTATAATTACAATAATAATTACAATTAGTATTAACACTGGAATGATAGATGTGCAAGAGATGATGTGCAAATAGAGATACTGGGGTACAAATGAGCAAAATAAATAACAATATAGGGATGAGGTAGTTGGACGGGCTAATTTCAGATGGGCTGTGTACAGGTGCAGTGATCGGTAAGGTGCTCTGACAACTGATGCTTAAAGATAGTGAGGGAGCCTTGATACAGCCTTTGATGGATCACATCTTGCATACATATGCATTTCATAGTCGTTTTCATATTACTTTATCAAATTAATATAGACAATATATAGCTGTATATCTTGCTAATGTTTAACCCAGCAATGCAACAATGACATCTGAACAACTCTATTGCAGAGGACACAGCATAGAAGGCACCAGTCACTGTTTATACATACATACATACATACATACATACATACATACATACATACATACATACATACATACAGACATACATACATACATACAGACATACAGACATACATACAGACATACAGACATACATACATACATACATACATACATACATACATACATACATACATACATACATACATACATACATACATACATACATACATACATACATACATACAGACATACATACATACATACATACATACAGACATACAGACATACATACAGACATACAGACATACATACATACATACATACATACATACATACATACATACATACATACATACATACATACATACATACATACATACATACATACATACATACATACATACATACATACATACATACATACATACATATACAGTACCAGTCAAAAGTTTGGACACACCTACTCATTCAAAGGTTTTTCTTTATTTTAATATTTTCTACATTGTAGAATAATAGCGAAGACATCAAAGCTATGAAATAACACATATGGAATCATGTAGTAACCAAAAAAGTGTTAAACAAATCAAAAATATATGTTATATTTGAGATTCTTCAAATAGCCATCCTTTGATGACAGCTTTGCACACTCTTGGCATTCTCTGAACCAGCTTCACCGTTTGCCTTGATGACATCTTTGCACACTTTTGGCATTCTCTCAACCAGCTTCATGAGGTTGTTGCCTGGAATGCATTTCAATTAACAGGTGTGCCTTGTTAAAAGTTAATTTGTGCAATTTCTTTCCTTCTTAATGAGTTTGAGCCAATCAGTTGTGTTGTGACAAGATAGGGGGGTATACAGAAGATAGCCCTATTTGGTAAAATACCAAGTTCATATTATGGCATGAACAGCTCAAATAAGCAAAGAGAAATGACAGTCCATCATTACTTTAAGACATCAAGGTCAGTCAATACAAAAAATGTAAAGAACTTTGAAGGTTTCTTCAAGTGCAGTCGCAAAAACCATCAAGCGCTATGATGAAACTGGTTCTCATGAGAACGGCCACAGGAATGGAAGACCCAGAGTTACCTCTGCTGCAGGGGATAAGTTCATTAGAGCTACTAGCCTCAGAAATTGCAGCCCAAATAAATGCTTCACAGAGTTGAAGTAACAGACACATCTCTTTGTGAGACGCGGTGTGGGTGAACGGATGATCTCCGTTCTCAAAGCTGTGATCAAAGGATGGCTATTTGAAGAATCTCAAATATAAAACAGATTTTGATTTGTTTAACACTTTTTTGGTTACTACATGATACCATATGTGTTATTTCATAGTTTTGATGTCTTCACTATTATTCTACAATGTAGAAAATATAAAAAATAAAGAAAAACCCTTGAATGAGTAGGTGTGTCCAAACTCTTGACTGGTACAGTACATACATATATATATACATAGATACATCTATCCATCCATGCTTACATACATTATAATGATACAGATGACAGAGGCTGAAAGAACATCATCATGTACTTGCCTTCTGAATGACTTTGTCCACCTGTGAGCCGACGGGAGAGTAGAGGATCTTGGGATTTGTAGTCATCAGATGCACTAGTAAACCCAGATTGCGCTGCTCTTTACTGGTGAAACCCAGAGAGCTCATATTCCCCTGCTTTAAAGCCTCAGGCTCAATGATCCTGGGGATGGACAGAAGACAGAAATAAACAACTTTAGCCTTTACAGCATTGGTATAGAGCACAGTGTTTCTCTACCCTGGTGTCAGCACAACTCTAACACACCTTATCAATTCAAAACGTTATGCCCTTGATTAGTTGAATCAGGTGTGTTCTTATACAGCTGGAACAAAATCCTGCATACCCCTGTAGATCACTAGCCTGGTCCCGGATCTGTTTGTGCTCCAGCCATTACATTGCTGTCATGACAGTAAGTGACAGGGGATTGGCATGATAGCACAAACAGACTGGCACTCAGGCTGGGTGATCTCCAGTCAAAGAACAACGGCACAGGAATGATCCCATTACACAGACACACGTGTACCTGTCATTCCCACACAGAATAGGCTGCAGCCCTGCCCACAGCTGTACAAATGCAGAAAACTGGGAATGAGGATTCTCTTCTTCTTTCCCTTTCTCTTTCTCTCGTCCTCCACCCTCCTCCTCTCCTCCCTCCTCCCCGGGGGTCTCGGTGGTGTTGGGCCCCCAGGTAGTGGTGTTGAGGGCCCAGGAGGTGGTAGTGTTGGCGGGGGCCCCAGGGACCGTATGACCCCCAGCACAGGCCCCCTTAGGGAGCAGGCGAGCCAGGCCTGACAGCAGGTCTACGTCTCTGACGAGCCTCTCCACGTCTGCCAGGTCCTTCAGCAGAGCACCCAGGTGGGACTGGGACAGAGGAGCCGAGGAGTTGGCCTTCTCCTGACACAGCTGGTGTGGAGAGAAAGAAAGGGAGAGTGAGAGAGAGAGGGAGCGAGAAAGAGAGCGAGAGAGTCCATAGATATACTGAGGAGCCATGGACTGTTTGCCATTCCACAATCCACAGTATTTATATTTGTTTGATGAGTGAAAAGCACCTCAATATCAGGGCCAGATTACCGAACGGGCATGCAGAGCACGTGCCCCGGGGCCCCCAACCTTCTCTCAGCCTCATGGCAAAATGTGAACGATAGCATGAGATGAGCTATAAAACACCACATGTTTCTTTCTTCCCCATGGCAAAAAGTGTAGAATTATAGGAAATTAGCTTTACAACTGCAACATTTTATTTTAGCCTCATGACAAAATGTGTAGAATAGCATTATAAAACTGCAAATGTTTCTCTCTGAACCATGGCAAAATGTGTTGAAATGCAGGAAGTTAACTGATTTGCCCGGAGGTCGCCCGGAGGGACCGAAGGTCCCCGGAAGGGCACCGAGGTCGGTGCCAAATGCAGTAGTTCGGCCTTGCTCACCATGGGGATTCCCAGTTCAAAGCAGCCTTCGAGTGTGCCCCAAATGGCACCCTATTCCCTATATAGTGCACTACTTTTGACCTGAGCCCTATGTGTCCTGGTCAAAAGAAGTGCACTGAATAGGGAATAGGGTGCCATTTGGGACGAGGCCATGTCTCTCAGTACTATACCTTGTCAATGAGGCTCTGTGTGTCTATCTGTTCTCTCAGCTCCTGGCTTAAATCTCCAAAGCGCTCAGTCCTCTGTCCCTCCCCGCCACCACACACTGCGTTGCGATAGGCCTGGAGCAGGTACTGCTGCTTCTCAGGAACCAATAGGATCTTGCTCAGCTCACTTGTCCCATCCTCCACACAAGTAAGCATTTCCAACATGGCACCAGTCAGAAGAACACCCTTTGGGGGAAAAAAGAAAACAATCAACAGCACATACAAATCCTCCTCCTCCTCCTCCTCCTCCTCCTCCTCCTCCTCCTCCTCCTCTCCTCCTCCTCCTCTCCTCCCCTCCTCCTCCTCCTCCTCCTCCTCCTCCTGCTCCTCCTCCTCCTCCTCTCCATCTCCTCCTTCTCATCATCATCATCATCATCATCCTCCTCCCCCTCCTTCTCATCATCATCATCATCCTCCCTCCTCTTCCTCCTCCTCGTCCTCCTCCTCCTCCTCATCATCCTCATCATCCTCATCATCCTCATCATCATCCTCATCATACTCCTCTCCTCCTCCTCCTCCTCCTCCTCCTCCTTATCATCATCATCATCATCATCATCCTCATCCTCATCATTTTCATCATATACGGTATCAATTATTTCAATGGTAGTCCTGTACGATAAATGTTAGTGATTCCATAAAGACAGGAGGAAGGAGGAAAGAAAAGGAGGAGAATATATCAGATAGAGGAGAATATATCAGATAGAGGAGAATATATCAGATAGAGGAGAATATCAGATAGAGGAGATATATCAGGTAGAGGAGAATATATCAGATAGAGGAGAATATATCAGGTAGAGGAGAATATATCAGGTAGAGGAGAATATATCAGATAGAGGAGAATATATCAGGTAGAGGAGAATATATCAGATAGAGGAGAATATATCAGGTAGAGGAGAATATATCAGATAGTGTACCTCCACCTCCTTCAGTCCCTGGGGGTCGTATCTCTGGCCTGCCTCTCCTCCTGCTAGGCCTAACGCCTGGGACATGAGTTTGAGCAGGCCCTGTCGATGGGCTGCGTTGGTTGGGTCTTGTAAAGCTTTGTGGATCAGTCCTCCATCCAGCCTGTGCATGGCTCCCAGTAGCTTCTCCTGAGGGGAGGATAGTATTGGGATTACTGCAGAACTAATACACCCACTCAGATCAATTCAATTCAATGTAATATTTCCAATTAGCAGCCTACCTCCAGTTGAAGGATCTTCTCTGCAGGGGTTTGTGCGGTCTCTTTTGCCCCTCCAGAACCGTGACTACTCCCCCTTCCAGCTCTGGAGTACAGGCCAAATATCATGTTGTAGACCTACAGTTCAGCAGGGGGAGAGAGGACACACACATTCAGAGAACAGGATGCACTCACACACACACACACACACACACACAGGTCTTTGCCAAATCTGAAATATTGGCGATCGGGTGTATATTCAAGATTAGATGGCAAAAATGTGTTATCTAAATGTAAATATAACCAATAGACATTGTTTCTGCCTTCACTGTTCATCAGTCATGTGACTACACTGGAATAAACTCTGCTAAAACAATATGCATTACTCTATGATAAAACACTCCATAGGGGGTTGATTGGGACTGGTGAGGTACAGTGTGTGTGTGTGTGCGTGTATGCGTGTGACAGGAGCACAGACCTCTTTGAGGTTGACAGGAGTGGAGAGCAGTAGGCTGGCAGTGTTATTGGGGAGAGACAGATTCCTAACCAGGAACTGATGGAACACTGACTGGTTCTTCAACACACTGGCCAAGGTGAACCCTGCAGGGGTGGAATCATACAGCACAACCACAGAGAATATACTGAACTGCTTCTCCGATAGAGATCACACAGCACTCTATCAAAAGCAGTGCACGCACATTAAATAACTTGCAGGTGCTGGGTACAAAAAGAAACTCATGAAATAAAGATAGATACCGACACACTGATGAATGCTCCCATTGTTTTATTGTGCAACATTTCACCCAGAAGTTCTTCATTAGACTACAACAGGTGCTAGACTGAATCCCCCTCAAAATGTTATTGTGCATGTCTATCATTTGGGTGAAACACACACACACACACAAACTGTCCAACACACCAATACACACACTCTGACTAGTGGCGTATCCAGGGGTTGGCCCAGGGTGGTCCACCCCTAGAAATTCTGAGATCTGATAGGTTGTTAGTCAAGTTGATCAACTCAATGAAGCGGGACCAGCGGCGCGTAATGCAAGTGAGAGCTGATCTGATGTCAGCATTACACTTTCCTCAAGTAGCATTTGAGGCGCGGAAGCTGATTCCAGCAGCACTCAGTGTCATCTTCACCAGGACTGGGCCACCCCACCCATGGACCCGCCCCTCTCCCGGAGCCGGAAAAGTAAGTAGCCACATAGCATCAAGTTTCAAAACAAACTGAACACATGCCACAAGGACTGGTCGGACTTGGAACGAGAAGACAAAGCCTGAACAGGTTGGTCACCATTGTTGGATAGATTGAGATTGAGAAAAACGGAGGCGGTCAGAGAACCTATTCAAGTAAGTAAATATATTTTGAAAATGTTAAAAACAATTTATTAGCTAGCTAGCTAGGCCACTTTGTAGGCTAACTCAACTGAGCTGCTAGCTAGCTAGCTAGCTAACCTTACACACTGTTTAGCCAAGTGAAATTAATATAATAAGCTAGCCAACTTCCTATTAGCTAGCTATCTTGATGTAATCACTGTAAATTAAAAAGACAGTCTCCAAATGCATTTGTAACAGCCATGGAAGAGGGTGAAATTGCATCTCCAGCTGTCAGTAAAGGGAGAGTGTAGGCTACTGAACAGGGCAGGTAATTTGGTGGGAGGACATTATGAAAAGATTCTCCAGTTTTGAGGACAGAGAGATAATAGCAACATTCTATTCAGTCCTGTCTAATTTAAATATAATGAAGCCTGTTTCTTTCATGGTTTCTGTTGTCAAATATTAACCTCCCGAGTGGCGCAGTGGTCTAAGGCACTGCATTGCAGTGCTAGCTGTGCCACTAGAGATCCTGGTTTGAATCCAGGCTCTGTCGTAGCCGGCCGCGACCGGGAGACCCATGGGGCGGCGCACAATTGGCCCAGCATCGTCCAGGGTAGGGGAGGGAATGGCCGGCAGGGATGTAGCTCAGTTGGTAGAGCATGGCGTTTGCAACGCCAGGGTTGTGGGTTTGATTCCCATGGGGGGCCAGTATGAATAAATAAAAAAATAACTGTAAGTCGCTCTGGATAAGAGTGTCTGCTAAATGAATAAAATGTAATGTAAATATGGAACGCTTTGAAAGCCTGTTTGCAGATGAAGAGAAAGGTGCCAATGAATGTCCCAGGGTTGAGACTAAGGGTTTATATAATCATATAGATATACCATGGATTATACTGTATGTGTACCTATATTAACAAATGTTGTATACAAAATTACAGTTAAACATCAATGACACACAATGTATAAACCTATTACAACTGGAGCAGGCCAATCCTGCTGGAGGTCTGTTGGGTGTGCAGGGTTCTGTTTCAGTCCAGTAATAACACACATGATAATCAATTGGGCTGGGCTGGAATAGGATTCTGCTCGCTGAGTAGATCAGGGATCAGTGGAGCAAGGTTGACCACCGCTGATGAGCCTGTCCTGCACACTATCATTCCCTAGACAAACTGGCCTTGTCCCATTCCTCATAATATTTTACTGTAAATGCCTTTAATAAATGTTTTAGGTTAATGTAATTTGTTTTAGATTATTTTTCAAACAAGCATTGCAACAGTCTGTGTGGCCCGCGCCTATACCGTGAGTCTCCCTTCCTCCTCAATTTTTGAAGTCACCAGCCTCCACTGGCGTTGAACCATCATAGTTATATTGAAAAAAATCCACCTTTGCATCAATTAAGGTTCAAAATGTTATGGCCCCACTAAACTTGGTGTGTGCCCCACCTTGGCCACCCAATTCAAAATGTTCTTGACACGCCACTGTGTCTGACAGACACTGACACACATACCTTGGCTGGTGTTGAAGCCGTTGTCCAGTGGGGAGGGCCCAGTGGATGTGCTGAGGCTCTCCAGGTACTCCAGCTCCTGGCCCAGTCCTGGCCTGTCTGCTGTGAACAGGTGGTTCTGTAACACCACCTCACTGATCCGTTCCAACAACTGGGTCACACTGGGGGAGGGGGGAGAAGGGGGAGAGGGAAGAGCGGGGAGAAAGAGAGTCGAGCGAGTGAAAGGAAGGGACACAGCGACAGAGGGAGAAAACAGGTGGGAGGGTACATTGAGAGGAGAGTGCATTGAGAGAGGTGTAGGGTATAGTTCAAAGACACAATGACAGTCCTCTCCCATTAGGAGAAGTCCACACATCAACAGAGGGAGATTAATTTATTATATGCATACAATTACAGATAACTACCACTGTCCACTTCTGCCATTACTGTAAGTGTTGTAGACATTAACACTGTTAGTCCATTAGTGGTAAGTTACATTAAACAAAATAAATGGAGTCTGTCTTGAGAGAGAGAGAGAGAGAGAGAGAGAGAGAGAGAGAGAGAGAGAGAGAGAGAGAGAGAGAGAGAGAGAGAGAGAGAGAGAGAGAGAGAGAGAGAGAGAGAGAGAGAGAGAGAGAGAGAGAGAGAGAGAGAGAGAGAGACTGGGATTGACTGACTGTGTGACTCACGTTGAGTTCTTGTACTGCAGGAAGCCAAACTCGTCCCTCTGGCCGTCGGGACACAGAGACTGCATGATGGGGATGATGCCTGCTGAGGTGAGGGGTGATGCGCTGTAGAAGGCTGGACAGACAGGATGGACACCAGGGAGGGACAGGAAAAGGGATCCGGGGGTAAGGGGAAAGGAGAGGAGTAGGAGGGGAAGTAGAGAGGGTAGGGAGAGATAGAGAGGGGAGGGAAGTTAGAGATAGATTGAGAGATGAGAGGGAGGACAGAGATAGAGAGGGGTAGGGAGATAGAAGGTGAGGGAAACGACATGTTAATGGGTGCGGATTAGGGGAGAGAGATAGTTTAGATAGGGTGAAGGTGGGGGAGGCGAATTGGGAGTGTAGGGGTTAAAATCAAGTGGCAATAGAGGGGGTAATGGGGCTTATTTGGGGGGGAAAAAGGTGGGAGGGTAGAGGCGGGGGATGGTTGGGATGGAGGGAGGCAGTTGGGGGTGGTGGGTAGAGGTCCTTGGGGGGGGCCCCTGGCCGGTCTGCTCGAGTACGGTGGGGTTGCGACATGAGTGGAGCCCTGGGGTCGGGATCGGGGCTCGTGATGCGGGGGGCCTAGAGAGGGCGCGTGGGGGGGGGGGGTGGGGGAGATAGAGGGAGGGTTTTCGGGTTGGGAGTAGAAGGAGGACCCTAGCGGGTGGGCGAGATGGAGAGGGGGCAGCCATAGAGCGGGGTAGGCGAGAGATAGAGGAGCGGTAGATAGAGGGGCCGATAGGCGGTTTGGAGAGAAGGTAGTGGAACAGGAAGAGGGGGACAGAGATGGAGGTGGGGGATGAGGGGACCCAGATATATGGGACAAAGGGATAGGATTCACAGGAAAATCAGGAAAGAGAGGAGAGGGAAGCGGATTGAAGGATTGGTAGGGAAGAGGTTCGTTCAGGGTTGAATGTGTCCAGAACCCAAAACAGATAACAACGTAGTAGAGGAGAAACAGAAACCCAGATCACAGATAACACACAGTCAGTAGCAGAGAGAAACAGAATCACAGATCACCGATAACACACAGTCAGTAGCAGAGAGAAACAGAAACCCAGATCACCGATAACACACAAGTCAGTAGCAGAGAGAAGAGGTACCCAGATGTCAGGGCAGAATTCTCTGTAAGGGCTGAGACATACATCATTCTGTCTGCTGATTTCTCATCCACTCATAAACGGTGACTGCTGCTGGACACGCTTTCACCAAGCCTGGAATAAGAACTAGGTCCATACTAATAGTGTACAATGGAATGGCCCATGTTTCCATGACTACCATAAAGAGTTTTTCTCACTGTTTTGTCTTTCAGCAGCAGTAGATTCATCCTCCCACTGGGCGTGGGGCCTGGCAACAACAACAATCTCTATTCTACTTCATTATCCATCCATCCATCCCTCACTCCCTCATATTACATCCATCCATCCCTCACTCCCTCAATTTCCATCCATCCATCCCTCACTCCCTCATATTCCATCCATCCATCCCTCACTCCCTCATATTTCATCCATCCATCCCTTTGGATAGAACAACAAGCATCCTAGCTTAACAAATAGGCCTCTTTGAGAATGTCGGAGGGGTATAAAAATTAGTTACCCCCTGTGATTATAAAAATGTATCCATCTCCCCAACGTTGCTTTATCTTATAAACCAATCTAAGACTAAATCGCTGCCACTTACACTGGTGCTATTACTGTCTTATTGAATAACCTATAACAGTTAGAAACACCCACTGCTGAGCTAATTCCAGACAAAGGAGCCCTTATGTGAGCGCTTCTCATAAATGGCACTTTATTCCGTACACTCACCATAGGAGAACCCTTTGAAGAACCCTTGTTGGTTCCAGGTAGAACCCTTTTGGTTCCAAGTAGAAACGTTTTGGGTTCCTGTAGAACTCTTTCCACAGAGGGTTTTACATGGAACCCAAAATGGTTCTACCAGGAACCAAATAGGGGTATTTACCTTTAACCAAAAAGGGTTTGCCTATGGAGACAGCCGAAGAACCCTTTTGGAACCCTTTTTTCTAAGAGTGTATATATTGCAAAAAAAATTTACCAGGGCCAATAGTGCACTAAATAGGGAATACATATAGGGTGCCATTTGGGATAGTCATCCCATCCCAGTTCAGACCTGACATCTGGTCCCCCTCCACACACTGAGCTCAAGATAAACTGACATGAGATCATCAAAGGTACAGTCAATGGTCAGTCAACCAGCATAAAAGTGGATCAGGGTGTCAGTCAGTTAGAGCTAGCCTGGGTACCAGTCCATTTGTGCCATCATGCCACTCCTTAGACATGATAGCAAACAGATCTGGGCCCAGGCTAAATAAGAGCTAGCTCTAGCCAGTTGTATGGTATAGCTATGTTATGCAGACAGTATTTACAGTAGCATGTATTGTTACCAGTAACTGGTTATCACAGAAACACAGACACATAGAAACATAGACTAAGACGCCCATACAGGTTCTGACAAACACACAAACACACACACACAGAGACAACATTCACCTTCGAAATTCTCATAAATCCCTATAAAGGAATATTTTCAC